GGGCGAGTGCGCCAGCCGAGCAGCCGACGAGCATTGGCAAACAAGCTACGGCCAGCGGGCGGCCGGGGTCTTCCTCGGGGGCACCGCGTCCAGCGCTGCCTCCCAAACCGAAGAGTCTGCGCATGCCCACGGGGATGGAAGGGCAAGCGGGCAGTCAGGATCGGAGTCCCACGGTGGCGGCGACGCCAGCCAGTGCGGGCGGGGAGGATTGGGAGGCTAACTTCAGTCGGCGGTTTCCGAGTCTATCGGGATTAGAGATGGAGACGGAGATTGAGTTGCCGCGGGTGGCTCCTAATAGTCTACGGACGAAGGAGGTGTAGTTGGTCGTTGGTATAAGTACCTACATATATGCTTAGAGCGTGGTTGCGAGCGATGTGAGCGTGTGAGCTATAATTGTAGTATTGGTGGTGTGGATAGACTTGTTTAAAGTTAATAACTTACTGCTGCATATGATTTCGATGGATCGATTGTTGAGACACTATAGATCAGATTGATTGTATATTCATAGATTGTTGCTCGGGCACCGGGGCGGTGGATCCCCCAAAGCGGTTAGCGCAGCTTCCCGTGCTTCTCCTCTTCTCCTCTTCTAGTTTCAAGGTTCTTCTCCGCACCACCTCCGAGACATTCAGCTTCTTATCACCAACCACTCATTAATCACCATGGCCCCAGTAACCCTCACCACCGTTGACCGTACGTTCTGACTCAATGCATCACACTCCCGTATATTAACGCATCCCAACCTTTCACCACCAGATGACCTAAAAGAAATCATCCAACACCTGTTCGAGATCCAATCCGCCGTCCACGGGTACCTCGGTCCGGAGACCCAACAAGAGCTCGTCCGGAAGATGTACGTTGTGCCCTTTCCCTGCCCTTTCCCCGAATACTAACTCCCTCGGCCAAACCCCAGCAAAAACCTCACCCTCGCCCTCCAAACCCTCCAAACCCACACCGCCCCCACCAACCCGGATGCCACCTCGACTGCCAGTACCACCACCAACCCGCAGGACCCCCCCCTGGGGAGCGTGCAACTCCCGCCGGAGATTATCGATTACGTGGACGCGGCGCGCAACCCGGACATCTACACGCGCGAGTTCGTGGAGCTGGTGCAGCGCGGCAACCAGGACCTCAAGGGGAAGAAGGAGGCGTTCCGCGGGTTTCGGGACGTGCTGGCGCGGGAGATCCGCGGCGCCATGCCCGAGTGTCGCGGGGAGGTGAGGCGGGTGTTGGAGATGACGGGGGGGGAGGAGTGATTTTTGGGGAGAGCATCAATAGGAAAGCTGGGGGGTGTTGTTGTTTTTTTTTTTGTCACAAAGGAAAAGGTGTTTTCTTTTGCTGTATCTGGGCTACATTTACTTGAATGATGGCGTTGCTTGGGGGGAGGGAGGGGAGTTAGCACGGTTTATGGTTTATGTCATGGTGTTTCAGAGTTCGGGAGTTTTGGTTTTTGCAATGGATTGGGGGTAATGAACTGCGGATTAACTAATTAGGTGAAACAGGCAGTGCTGGGGCTGGAATGATACCACTCATAATCCATCTGAACCAAAAATAACCCTTACGTATCCGAAAGGTGAATGGTGAATGACATTTCCAGGTCCACGTGTTGCCGGCGGACGCAGGGGATGATCGTATCGCGATCGGAGACACAGAGCTGGGAATGATATCAGTTGACAAGTATGCGTAAAATATTAAGTATCAACTGATAACCAGTATAACCAGTAATTTATTGACTACTACGGAGTAAATACTCCGCCAATCGAGGGAGTGACGAGTCGAGTGGAGCTGTCTTTTCCCCGCGTTTGTTTGTCGGTCAATCCGGGTCTAGTAAAGGATGACTGCATAAGTTAGTTAGTTAGTCCTTAGTTAGTATCTTCTCGTGACTCGCTGCCTGTTCTTCCTCTCCTCTCCTCTCCTCTCTTACTCTTACTCTCTCTCACACTCTCTCTTCTCTTCCCTCTTCCACTGCCTCCCTCTCGCTTCCTCTTACCCTTTCCTTTCCTTTCATTTCCTTTCCTTTCCTCTCCTCTCCTCTCCTCTCCTCTCCTCTCCTCTCCTCTCCTCCTCTCCTCTCCGCTCCTCTCTATACTTCCTCCCCTCCACCACTAGCTCCATACTAATCTACACCACACTATACTACTTCCATCCATTTCAACCCAACTACCCAACCGCTCTTAACTCAACCTACCCATTCAAAACCCCCCCCCATCTCCCCATCCAACGATGAAACCATGATCACCGGCCCGACCACCTCCCCCGGCAATGGCGTCGTCGGGGGCTACACCGGCCACAGTATGGCCCTCCGCATCGCCATTGCAACCCTGGCCGCCATCAGCTGGTACAACGCCGTCGAGCTGGTCATCCTCGTCTTTGTGACCTTCGCCCAGTTCCGGGGCCCCTACTTCTGGTCGCTGCTGATCTCCTCGCTGGGGCTCCTCCCCTACTCCACCGGCTTCCTCCTCAAATACTTCGACCTGGCGCCCGCCGCCCTGTCCGTCACCCTGATCACCATCGGCTGGTACACCATGGTGACGGGCCAGTCGGTGGTGCTGTACTCGCGGCTGCACCTGGTGCTGCCCAACCCGCGCATCCTGCGCCAGGTGCGGTACATGATCACCATCGACGCGTGCCTGCTGCACCTGCCGACCACCGTGCTCACGTACGGCTCGAACCTGGCCCCGCGCAAGGCCGCCTTCATCGCCGGCTACAACATCATGGAGAAGATCCAGATGACCTGCTTCTGCCTGCAGGAGTTCATCCTGTCCGCGCTGTACATCTGGGAGACGGTGCGCATGCTGCGCCTCGACCCGGACCGCGGCAAGCGCAAGATCATGTACCAGCTGGTCGCCATCAACCTGATCATCATCTTTTTGGATCTGGGGCTGCTGGTCATCGAGTACCGCGACCTCTACATCATGGAGACCATGATCAAGGGCGTCATCTACAGCGTCAAGCTGAAGCTCGAGTTCGCCGTCCTCGGCAAGCTCGTCCTGCTGGTCCGCGGCCACCACGTCTGGAAGTGCGACTCCGCCCTCGCCGTCAGCAGTCCGCCGCCGCCGCCGACCGCCGTCGACGAGCAGCAGCCACCAACAATCACCACCGGCCGCGGCGGGGCGACGATCCCGGAGTACCCGGATTTCGTCGACGCCACCCGCGTCACCTCGGACCTGACGCACCCGGGCACGCACGCGCCCATCGCGACCCGCCGCCGGTCGCACCCCTGGATGGACAGCGAGGACGTCTCGATCGCCATGTTCGAGCACGCCACCTGCACGACCACGCGCAGCAGCACGACGCGGCGGAGTCTCAGCGGCCGCCGCCTCGACCATCCGCGCACGGGCCACTCGGACGGCTCGCACGTCTCGCAGTCGTGGAGCGGCGAGACGCAGACCAACCATTCGTTCCTGTCGGCTACGGGTCAGGAGCGAGAATTGAGTCCGGCCGACTTTACAGGGAACTGGGGGAAGCCCCAGGACAGTTTTTAGTCGGTGCTTATCCGCTGAATAGGTTTATGATTGAATGAGTTATGAGGTATGCGGCGTTGTCTGATGTTTTGGGGGCAAAGCCCGTCTAGTATATTGGGTAGTAATTCATGCACATATGGAGTCTGTACTTTATTTCTAGTCAGGAATAAGCAAGCCGGAAGCTATCTCACAGTAAACATGACGTATGCAGAGTTCTATAGCGTTGTGAGTATCACGGGATGGATGCGAAGTACGGACGGAGTAAGAGTAAGAGTAGGTATGCTCCATAAGGTACGGGCCCCAGTCCGAGTCCCGGAAAGTCCAAAAGTGGAACCCGTGAACCACTGGCCCCGGGGAATGTGGACTGCGGACTGTGGATTGTGGACACTGGAATGCGCTTACGGCTGAGCCCGAACCCGCCCCGACCATCTCCCGGACCATGGTACGTAGCCCATCATCCACCCAGGGAGGTCACTTTATTTCAGGTCCGTACCGTACCTGAATCTCCATTTCTCCCACACAGCCAGACGAACACCGTGGTAGGGTACTGTACTGTACTGTACTGTACTGTCCTGCCCTCTCCTCACACCCACTTATATGCCATTGCAAAGCTAATGCATTAGATAGGTAACTTTCAGTACGGTACAGTACGTAACTTAAGTCAAGTAAGTAACTTCGCAGGATCTCAGCTGCTTCGATCCGATCCGATTCAAATCCGATTTAGCCGATTTTTATGTGCGTAATGTTAATCTGTAGGTGCGGAGTGCCTTAATAGTGAAGTGTAAGTTAAGTTACTACCTACTAAGTAGTTACCTCGTAGGTTGGTAGGGTAAGCAACCCGCCCAATCGGATGATTGTTAGTGTAATCCATCCGTCCTGTAACACCAGCCGGCTAACAGTAAAAAATGTTGTATACAGAGATTATTTCGGGAATAATAATTCATAATTAATTAGACTATAATTATATCTACTATTCTATATGAAAGATGAACTACTAGAAAAATACTTTTTTAATAAGTTCAAAATATCAAAAAACGGCTTTATTTTTGTATGATAATCAGAAAATACCGAGAGAGATAGACCACTCGCCCGTGTGGACCGCTCGCCCGTTGATTATTTTATTGAGAGTAGTCTTACTAATTCGATGAAAAACATCTTTTAGATTGAAAATATCATTAGTGTTACTACTCTTACTCGCACTCATGCTCAATCAACTGCGTTCGCGAGCACCAGCAGGGCTTGCTTGTTCTGAACCGGCGCAAACGCGGCAAGTATAGTATGAAGTATGCATCCGTAGCAAACGGCTGATTCTCGAAGATGCCTGACCAAGATAGTAATCTGGCTGTGGTTTCGAACCGGTGGACCGGTTTTGGGTGGCGCTATCGTCCTGGGGGCGGTCAAGTAGCCTTGTCACTACAAGTCGCTGAGCGTCAGCCCGATCCTTGGATAGATTTGTGTTGTATACCCGGCAGCTCCACGCGACCTCGCAACTACGCGGAAAGTAGAGAAATGGCCTGAGAGATGCGAACTTCACCCAGCAAGTGTAAAATAATTTGCCAAAAAAAAAAAAAAAAAAAACATCGATAACAGCTTGAGTATGGTACTTCCAAAAGATACCCCAACTGCCACCCATAAAATATCCAAAGTCCCAGGTATAGGCGGAATAATTGGACTGGGAGTATATCCATCTCGCCCCCTTTTCCAGTATCTGACTCCAAAACAAAACTGAACGGCACCAGAATCGTCCAAAATCTCGCGCTCTCCTCCTCTGTCTGTCGTGTATGTCCAGTGGATAACCCGGGAAACAAGTCACAGCTAATCCTTCCATCAAACTGGGTTGAAGGAGATCGCGGTTCAATCATTTCAACTGATATTCGGCATGTTCACAGCCCAGGTCCCAACGAATGCACCTGTCGGCTGGAATGCCAGGGTTCGAAACATCTCTACCAGGAGATATAGCCTGGCAATAAAATAGACAACAAAGCTCAAGAGCCATGCGCCGAATGATAGTCGACGAATGATCTTAAATATGCAGTGCTTTGGTTGCACATTTCCAGCAGGTGTGTGTTCCTCCGTAGTTGTGGCTATAGTGATGAGTAATAACACATCACCGAGCGGAAAAGCGGTGCTGTAGATCGCTGCGATCCTCCACAGCAGCTTCTCAAGGTGAGTAGGGAAATGGCTACGCCAGGCTGCGAGATGTACCCCGCTGAAGAGCATTCCGGTGAGGACTACTACCGGTATAAACCATGACGCGGCATACCCCTCTCCTTCCATGACTTTGAAGTACTTATCAATAGCTTCGGGCGTTATGATGTGCTTCACCCATCCTTTGCCGCTGGACGCTGTGGCGGGGGTGGTCTCTTTCTCCAGTGACGTGCCATAATCAGCCCCTTGGTCGGAGACCTGAAGAATACTGATAGGGATATTAACCCCCTGCGGTTTGTTCCAGGCGAGTCCATATATGATAACCGCGCAGAGTGCAAATGCCACAGTTACAATCTCCAACTGTGAGACCGCCAGATGCTCCACTGCCCGGGAAATCACCTGGATACAGAGCCATAGAATCTGGAAGACGGCAATAACCCGTATGAATTTGTCAGACTTCGACTTGTCCTCGATATCTTCTTCATCAATGTCCGGTAGATGATGCAGTTTGTGATCGTGCACAAGTTGTAGAATTTCTTTTGGTGTTAGAATACGGGGGTAATCATCCTCCGGGCTATCGGTTGCAAGCTTCTTCTCGGCTGTTGTCTGGTTGACGGGGCCCTTCTCAACGTCTTCTTTGTTTGGTTTTCCGGAATCGGTGCCCTTGTCTGGCGATGGCTCCGGCTGTGAGGACGACGAAAGGGAATGTGATTGAGCGCCGACTGCGTTTTCGATCTCAGGCGTCGGTGAGCTGACCATCTGCGGGATTTTGTCCCGTGAAGCTTTCGTCGTCATGGAAAATCCACCCATGATCGCAAACAGCCAATGCTTGCGGGTCCATTCAATCTTGCCGCCCTTCTTAATATTTGTTTTATACTCTTTTTCAAATTGATTTCTCAGGCGTTTCGCTTCCCACAGATCCCCCAGATGCTTGCCAAGCGGGATCTCCGGGGCCAGAATCGTGGTTACAAACCACGCGGTCGAGTATTTCCATTTCGAGATCTTCCAGTTCCATTCATTCACTTTCTGGCCCTTAAAGTTCTCACTGGACCGGAAGTGCTTTCTTTGCCAGGGAATATCGGGGTGCTGGACGGTCCAGGTACAAGCGAGAATCGTAAATAGGCAAGACCAAAGGATATTAAGTGTACCTCGGGTGTCTGGGGAGGAGACATAGTTGAGTTCATCTATAGTCGGGGGTGGGAGTGTGCAGTTTGTATCGAAGGTCTTGAATGCATCTGCCAATGCTGTAACGAGGGAAATAATCAGAAACGTAGACACAGACGAAATCATGTTTGGCAGTGAATGCTACTAGGACGCTTGAGATTGAGCTGAACTGATCTACCAATTTTCCAGTGGTGATTCTGAAGCAATTGTTCTCCTTAAGTACATACCTGGGCATTGGTTCATGCAGGTTGGAAAAGGCTCCTTGACCTGACCTTCCGACTACCATTGCAAATGTTGCGAGTATGAACACCGATCTTCATGACTTGTGGAAGCCACGGACGCTAGCATGACAGGGCTAGAGTTGAATAAGTCTGTCCTATTCTTGACATGTACGCCAAGATTCCCCGAGCAAAGAGAATTACTACCAATAGACGCACTTACCCATGCGATCGATCGATCGACGGGATTGCCATCGATGTAGCCAGGGAGATTATTTTATTCGCTGATGCGAGTGTATGTACATAGATACTCCTCATCTCTCAGCCGGGGACGTGCTCGGGAACCTGTCGATCAGAGCAACATGGATCCCGGGATGCAAGCCTTCCCTCATTGAGATCACATCAATTCGATGAACCACAAGGAAAAAGGCCCTTGACAGGCATCCTGGGAAATGCGTAGGCGAGAAAATATAACACGTAATCACATCCTATCGAACGTGCATTTCATGCCGGCTAAATTAACATGCATGATGCTGTACAGTACATTAGCGTTGACACTATCTTTACAAGCCCTCATCGCTTAGGGACTTAGTTAGCTAGCAAACAGACATCAGCCGCCGGAAATCGAGAACCCTATGGCGCCCTATGAGTGGTCAATGTGCACGTCTACGTCGGGTATGCATGCAGACACTCGCTAACGATCAGCAGCAGACTGGGAGGGAAAAAGAAGAAAGGCGGGGCACTAGGGAATAATTACCACAACAGACAGCACTGCGAAGATGAACCGTGGGCTGGTAGCTTTGTGATCCTAGCTGGCTGACATTTTGAGTAGGTGACCCAGAGCAGTACCAGTATTCAGATTAGATCTTGTACCGTCCGTGGCCTCTTTGTCGGAAAGACTGAGTATTTCCGCGAAGAAATGGATGCATGTTTACTGATATATCACCTCAACCGCATTTCCCACTTCCTCCCAGAACACGTCTCCCAGTATATTCAGCGCAGAAATACTCCATTCGGGCAGCATGTGGAAGCCTAAGCTAGGCGGTCTACCGCCCATTTCGGTGATTCTTTGCTACCTAGTAGTTCCTTCAATCGCCTGATACCCTAGCGAATAGGTTCCCCCCTCCATTCGCGGACTAGATGGCAAACCGAAGCGAGCTTCTGAAACATATTTCTCACATGATGCTCCACACGAGCCATCCGGGGGAGCAGCAGCAGGCAGCGTACCCGGCTGAGTGACCCCCCCCCCCAGGCGATGAAAGTATAATTTACCTCCCTACGCATAGGGCAATCACTCCAGTACCATAATAAGCACCATTAGCTTCTCCGGACTTTATGTTCACTATTCAAGTCACTGTCCATGAGTAAATGGATGGAGGATTGTGATTTAAATGTAACTAAAAGCAAGTGACTGCATACCCCCCGGCTGAATTGACCCGCAGACAGGGGTGGATTCCCCGGCATCGGGTATTTAGAATCAGGCAACGAATTGTTGACCCATCAAGGCAACTGAACCAGCTTGAGATAGACCTCAGCACAATCCATCCGTCCCGTAACACTTACTCCGTAGCGCGGCAGACTAGCCCTTTCTCGCCCTGTCTCCTACCACCCGGCCGTCTTCGCGCTGGGGACTCTGACATGAGCGATGACGGTATACCAACACCAAGTAGGTGGTCGTTATTCTCGAGCTGCTCTCGGCATCTATACTCGAAAGGGACCCCTGCTCAAAGTGGGCAGTTTGTTCGATGAACCTACACATTGGGGTCAGAGGCCATTGTTGTATCAGTTGGATTGACTGGATGGTTTATGCTATGTGCTATGGTGCACATTATCTTACGGGGGTAAACTCCCACTTGGACCTGTCATGTTGCAGATAGGGACTGCATGACAACCGAGGAAGTGCCGTGACGTGGTGAAAGATCGGGTCGACTACCTCAGACCTGACGGAGACTAAAGCGTACTACACACACGATGCACCATCGCAAGACAATCATAATCATTACAATATCCACAAAGCCCATCTGATCAACATGGTCAAGACTAATCAAACAGAAACAGATCCAGATCCCAACGCCCACGCCGTACCCAGCATGCCGGATGCATCTGCATTTGCAAACCCCAAGCGCCAATTTCAGCCATATGGACACCAGTTCAGGAGAAACACCAAAGGACACAGGAAGTCCCAAGTCGGAGGAACACGCTACACAATCTGATGCGAGAAAAAAAAAACAGCTCAGCAACTACCCCACTTCGTAGTCTCCAACGTTCCCAGAAACGAACATGTGAACATGCTACTAGGTATTCAACATCTGTAAATCGTCAATAGACCCGTATCGCACGACTGAATGCAACGCTCAAACATTTAAGAACGGCTCTTGGGCTGTGACAGCAAGTGCAGACGGCTCATGGTCAGCACGCCCCGGCCGCGAGCACGAGCACTGCCCGGGGTGGTGGTGGTGCTGGCGCGTCCCGCCGAGGGTCGGGTTGCAGAGCGGAGCGGAGTGTGGGAGCGCGCTTTGGTGGGCGTGGGGGTACCTGCAACACTCGAGGCCGCGTCCTTGGTAGCACTAGGAGTGCCAGTGGCCTTGGCAAACAGAGTGGAGGCACGACCGGTCTTCTTGAACGGCGAGGGCGAGGGCGCGCTCATCTTGAGGCGCTTGGCGCTGCGCGCTCCCGCATTATCGGCTGGAGGCACGTTTTCGGCATCAACATCCTCCGCCTCGACAGCCGTGCGGTTACGCTTCTTGTGACCAATACCATGGGGAACCCCGGCAATGTCGGGCAAGGAACTAGCGTCGTGCTTCTTCTCCTCAACGGTAGGACGGTTGCGTTTCTTGTGACCAATACCGTGGGGCACACCGGCAATCTCGGGCAGAGGAGTGGCGTCGGAAGGACGCACCTGGCGGATAGTAGGTGTGTTCGCCTCGCTGTTCTTGGTGGTGCTGCCGATCTTGCTGGGGCTGCGGGAGTGCTCCGGGGTCAAGGTAGGCAGAGTCGGGTAAACAATGTCAGAAACCACCCGAGAGGCACTGGCAGTGGGAAGTTTCGAAGGGGAAGGCGAGAACACGGTTTCCTCCGGAGCATCCTTCACGCAGGGAGTGAACTCGACGCGCTTCTTGGGAGAGGGAGTGTGCGACGGTTCCTCGGTGGCGTCCCGAGACGAGCCGAACAGCATGTTCGAGCTGAAGTTGGGAGCCGCCACATGGGTGCCTGCCGCGATCTTGAGGGGGTCTTTGGAGAACAGCTGGTGGGGTTGACGGAGGATCGACCGGGGTTGGCTGAAATTGGGAATGTTGCTCTTCAGCCGGGGGTTGAAGTCGGTCTGAGGCGTGCGCGGAATCTCTGGCTGCGTGGGGGCTGGGGAGCGGACCAACGAGGGAATCATCGAAGTGCGAGCAGGTCTCACGGTCGACGCACGCGCCGCCGAGGCTCGGGTCGGAGTCATCAAAGACTTGCGGAAAGAGTGCTTGGGACGCGTGAACCCGGGCTTAGGGCTGTTCAGAGTAGGCAGACGGCTGGTCGAGGCGTCATCAGTCTGATTGTGCTTGACGCGTTTAGCTGAAGCAGCAACCGGAGCAGGAGAGGACCGTGCAACGGAGACCTTGGAAGGCGAAGGCGACTTGCTGTCGGTCTCGTCCAGTCGTGCCTTGGAGTTGGTTCTCTTAAGAGTTTTCTTCTCGATCACCGGCTGGAAGCGACCCGGAGCGGCACGGAAGGCCGAAGGATGGTTGGCGATGGAGTCCATCTTCTTGAATTCGGCCATGTGAGCCTCGGTGAAACGGTCGGTCTTTCCCTTGGGCTGCACGATCTTTCTCTCGGTGAGCTCGGGTTTGTCCTGTGCGCTGTTGGCCCGATCCTTGACCATCTGCGCCTTGATCTTCGCAGCGTCCAGGCGCACGCTCTCCATGAGCTTCTTGGCCTCGTCGCTCAGCTGGGCCTCTTGGCTGGCGAACTTGAACTCAAACGCAGGGGTACCATAGTATGCGGACGCGGGGGAATCTCTAGCCTTGGTCGGAGTGCTCTCAGTCGCGGTGTCCTTGACGACATTGCCCTCGGCGTCCTTCTTGATGGGATTGAACCCCAAAACCAAGCCGGAGTCGGGCTGCTTAGTGGTGCTCTGGTGGACCTTGCTGGGGTGCATATCCTGGTGGGAAGGACGCGCCATGACGGTGGAGGGGGTCTTTGCACCGGGACCCTTCGCCGCCGCGGGGGTAGCCCTGAGCGGGGTGGAAACGCTCGGGATTCTGGAAGGGGTGGTGCCCTTGACTGGCGAAGTCAACTGGGTAATTCTCTTGGGGGTCGCCTCGACTCGCGCGGACGCGGCATTGGGGGTTTTCTTGGGCGTAGCATCGGCGCGATCGGACGCGTCGCCGGCGCCCTTCTTGGGGGTCGCTCCGCTCTTGGAAAACGCGGCGCTCTTCATCTTCTTGAATGTCGACTCAGCCTTGTCGAACGCGGCAGTGATGGATCGCTTTTTCGTCCGCTCCGTCTCCGCGGCTGCGGCACGCGTCGATTCGGTTATGGTTTCCTTGGATGCAGTTTCGGAGTCCTCGGCTGTAGCAGGAGCCGGCTGAGGAGGTTCAGGGTTTTCGCTGGCGGGAGCAGACTTCTTGTCCGCTACGACAGGGGCGTTGTCGGCTTCGCGTTCAGGTTCGGGATTGGGTTCAGAGCTGTTGACAACGGCGGTCTCCTCACGTTCGATAACTGGAGGTAGATCGGTGGGTTCGGGGATGGGTTGGGATTTCTTCTTGCTCCTTGTGTTCCTCTTGTTTGGTTTTGTAGAAAGTTGGTCGTCATGCCGATTGTTGGTGTTGACGTGATCTTTGTTGACGTGACTGTGCTCAGCGGGGCCAGGTGGTGGCTGAGGTTCCTAAGCGGGTCATCCAATGTCAGTGACCTGAGATGCACAGGGTAGCATTCCACACCCCCTCCCCTCCCTCGGATCTCACCTGATCCTTCACGTCGCTGGAGGGTGGGATGCTCGGATGGGCGAATGGCTTACCTCGGACAAGGACGCATCGCGATTGCGCAGACGGGCGGACCGCCGGACCGCCATAGTTGCTATATACAATGAATTGGTGATGATATGTGATAAAAGATGAGGATGAATGGGGTACAATCGAGGATCCAACAGGCAATGCACGAGAATGACGACAAGAGGAGAATTGAAGGCATGGGGTAAAAGGGCGAATAAACAAATCCGCGGCCAGGCGGTGAGCTGACGTCAAAGCTTAGATAAGTGATCACGTGCACGCATGCATCCATCCTCTACACATTTTCATTCTACCACTTGATGTGAATCACTAACAACAGATATTGGGGCAAAATAACTACAAGCCAAAAGGATATGTCTCCTCCATGCCCATCACCGTCTTCGGCTGCACCGTCTCCAGCGGCTTCACCGCCTCCGTCTCATCGAACCAGATATACGCGTCGAACTGCTGCTGCAGGTCCGCCTGCGAGTAATGCGACATGCGCTCCGTGTCCGGCCGATAGATGACGCCGATGAACCGCTCGAGCCGGTGGCTCTCAGCGGCCATGGCCTCCTTGAGGCGGGGACTGATGCGGCCCTCGCGCAGATCCCACACGAAGCGCGGGATGCCCGTGTGATGGGCCACGGACTCCCAGCTGTCGGGCCTCGAGGGCCGGACGGCCATGATCTCCATGTCCTCGTCCCACTCGTGGGCGGCGGCGACGGTCCCCGTGTGCGTGCCGCAGCCGAGGATGGCGACGTGCTCGCGGCCGAAGCGCTCGCGACACAGCTGGCCGATGTTGACCTCCTTGCGGCGCGTGCCCATGCTCGTGAACCGCGCATCCCCGCAGTGGGAGTTGTGCGCCCAGACCACGGCCTTGCCGGCCGCCGCGGGTCGGCTCTTCAGGATGCGGCGCAGCGTGTCCACCATGTGCGTGTCGCGCAGCGTCCACGACGAGGCCGAGCTGTAGTACATGGCCTTGTAGTAGCGCTCGGCGTCGCGCACCAGGTGCGCGTTCTGCCGGCCGCTGTGGTACTCCTCGCCGTCGTGCACGTCCTCGGAATACTCCAGCCGCCGCGCCAGCAGGTCGCGCAGCATCTGCACCACCCCTTGCTCGCAGTCCGCCATGCCGCGCAGCGAGGCCAGCCCGTACGCGGTGGGGTCCTCCACCCACGGTTGCAGGCAGCCGTAGCGGCGGCGCGCGTCCTTCCCCGCGGCCGGGTCGACGCGGTCCAGGTAGTCGATGACCGCCTGGATCGACGCGCCCATGCTGTACAGGTCGAGGCCGTAGAATCCGGCCCTCTGCGCGGGGTCGGTCAGCGTCGCGTTGCGGTTGCGCATCCATTCGACCAGGTCCTGGGTCTCGCGGTTGCGCCACATCCAGGTGGGGAACCGCTTGAAGGGCTCATGCGCGTCGTCGTCATTATTGCTGCCCTGTCGGATTCGGGCCTGGGGACCCGGGCGCTGGCGAACGTACCGGTCGACGGACTCCGCGTCGGGCCAGTCGGCCTCCACGGCGACGATGTTGAAGCCGTGGTGTTCGATCAGCCGCTTGGTGATTTCCGCGCGGGCGGCGTAGAACTCCGAGGTGCCGTGCGTGCCGTCGCCGAGGAGGACGACGCGGTATTCCCCGAAGGTATCGAAGTGAGACCCAAAACTGGGGTCGTGGATGGCGGGCAGAGGTTGTGCTGCTGCGGTGAAGAGGTCTTGGAATTGCGACATCTTTGGGGTCGGTTTGAACAGTCGGGCTAGACGCCAGAGCTTAGCAGTCATAAGTGAGTGATTCAGCCCATTTTTGGGAATGTGTTTGTTATGACAGATAGTAAGCCCGGAGTACGCGTGGAGTTGATATACTGGGACGCAGTCGGATTAGGGTTCGGCAGCGGCGAAATGAGATCACCACCGGGTCATCGTGACTTGATCTTTGCCACATTCGAGCAATGAACGAGGAGGGTCATCGACGAGTAATATGCTCATACTGAGTACAGTATCAGATGATCTACAGCTGACAGTAACACTTTTCGATGTCAATCCTCCAACCCGCCGATCCCTTCCCAATCCAAAATCTTCACCATCTATACCCCAGATCCCAGATCCCAGACCCAGACTCCACACCCCACACTCCACCACTACACACAGTATATCAAACCCCCAACCCCCAAAGGAAAGAAAAAAATGCCCACCCACCCCCAAAAACTAACCAGCTTCATCCGCGCCCAAGAATCCCTGTACGGCCCAATAACCACCATCCCCGACCCCGCGCAATGGATACCCCCCGCCCAATCCGGCGGCCACCGAGGCCGCTACCTCTGGACCGACGCCTTCGGCGTCCTCAACTTCCTAACCCTACACCGCGAAACCACCAACCCCCAAAACAACCTACAAGCACAAACAAAAGGCCACTACCTCACCCTGGCCACAAACCTCATCACCACCGTCCACCGCACCCTGGGCACCACCCGGTCCTCGCCCCCGGAACCGCTCCCGCGGGCCACGCCCTCCAACCCCCTCGCCGGCGGCCTCCGCATCGGCAAACCCCACGCCCACGGCCCCGACAGCGACGGCCAATACCACCATTACCTGACGCTGTGGATGTTCGCGCTGAACCGGACGGCGGTGGCCACACGCGACAGGACCTGGAACGATCAGGCGCTGGCGCTGGCGACGGCGATCCATCCACACTTCGTGCGGGGCGGGAGCAGCAGCGGGAGCAGCAGCGGACGTGACCCGCACCACCACCACCACCACCAGCAATCCCCCAAAATGGTGTGGAAGATGGACGTCAACCTGGAGGAGGTGTTGGTCGCGTCGGAGGGGAATCTCGATCCCGTGGATGGGCTGGTGGTGTTTCGGTTGCTGCGGGAGACGGATCGGTGGTTTCGAGGGGAGGGCCCCCAGCCCGAAGATGAAAGGGTGCTGGGGGATGAGATTGAGGATTATCGGAGGATCGTCAAGCGGAAGGGGGAGGGGTTCGTCTCGCTGGATCCCTTGGATTTGGGGATGGCGATGTGGACGGCGCATTGGGTGGCCGACACTAAAGGGGAGGAGTGGGCGGGGAGGATGGCGGAGGATTGTTGGGGGAGGGTTTGTATGACTTCCTTTCCTTTGGATTTGGGTTTGGTTAATGGATGAATGAGTGAGGTGTGGTGCTGATGCTGCAGAAATCAACAGTTGATTTGTTCGAGAGACGACACTACCTTGACCGGGACCTCCGCGCGCGGTTGGCCTTCCGCGAGTTCGGGACGTGTTTGGGCCTCCAATGCATGGCGGCGCAGGCGTCGGATAAAGACCGCGCGGTCGAGCTGAAGGCCTACGCGGATCGCATTGTGGAGTGCTGGGATCCGTACATCTGGATGGAGACGGGGCGCAATGCGACGCCGGAGGAGTTGCGGCCCATCACGCGAGTCATGTATGCCGCGGCTTTGATCCCCGGAGGTGAGTGGTCTGAGTCCATTGCGAACCATTATTGACATTCGACAGCGTTCTGTCGGGGCTATCTCGGGCCTGAACCTGTTGCTTGACTGGTCAAACAACCAGAGATAATTCGCAAAATATAATTGCCTGATGCATTGAGGTAAGCGTACTCTACAGAGTCAGTCAACCAGTAGTCAAAAAAATGCAAACATGTACAGTATGTATATCAGAGCCCGAGGAAACTCCCCTCCCTCGAACATTCATCACTCTATCAACGCCACAAACATATAATCACAAAACCCAACCCTTTAAACCCCAGGTAGCCCCACAATCTCCCTCCACGGGATATTCGTCCGAGGGAGAATGTAAATCGTGTAAACAGTGCCCAGTGCAATCAGAAGACCCGATACCTGCAGAGAAAACATTAGCCCAGAAATCCCACAACCCAGAGTGACCGAAAAGGAAACATACCTTCTCAAACCAAGTGTGAAACCAAATCGCCGTCATCAACAACATCCACATCCCCAGGCCCACGACCGTCCACGCCAACCGGGCCGACCACACCGCGAACACATCCTGCTCGTCAGCATCCCCCTCCTGATCAAGCGCATCCGTCTTCTCCCCCTCTTTCTTCTCTTTCGAATCCGCCTCCTCGCGGGACAGCCTGGCGCCCCAGGCCTCAAACCCAATCAACGAAGTCATCAACACCAACATGAACACATGCCCACTGACATCGTGCCCGCCGCGCCACGCCCCGCCAGCCCCCTTACACGCCACGGCCGTCGCCAGCGTCCCGAAGTCGGTGGTGGTGTAAGGGTTCTCCGCCTCGGGGATCGCCCGCTCGCACTTGCCGCCCGTCAGCACGAAGCTGCGGTCGATCAGCGCGGGCCCGAAGAACCATTGCGTCGTCAGGTACCACGCCGTCGTGGCGAGCGCGTACCGGATGACGGCCTGCGTCGTGCGGCGGGACCGTTGCGCAGCAGCAGCAGCAGCGGCGGCGGCGGCGGCGGCAGTGTTGCCGCCCGCGCCGCCGCGACCGCCGCTCCCGGTGTAGGCGGACTGGGTGAGGAGGAGCAGGACGAAGGCGAGAGTCGTCCAGAGCCAGCCGATCTTCACGAAGTAGAGGTTGAAGACATTGTCCTTGCGCGCGAAATAGTTGACGGGCTTGACGGCGGCGGGAAACGAGAGGTGCAGGTCCGAGGCGATGGTTGGGGCGAAGGGGGATGGGTAGTTCTGGAGTGGGCTGCTGCTGGCGCTCGGATCACGGCTGCCGTAGGCGGTTGGCGAGAGGACGGAGAAAAGAGACCCCACGACGAGGGTGAGAGGATAGATGAGGAGAGCGGTGATCGGGGGCTGGAGCGATCGTGATGTGGTCGGGGTTGTCTTTGCTGCTACTCCAGCGGGAGAAGGGGGATTGTCCGCGGATGGCATCGTGGTTTTTTTTTACCCTTCTGTTGTCCGGGTGATTGCACTCGTCTTGTGGTGTATTGCTTCGAAAATGTATAGAGGATGAGATAACTGTTCTATCTGAGTAGAATTGGGGAGTGCATGAATTTGAGGGATTTGGGGGACAATTGAATGGAAACAAGGTCGATGATACAAAAGGAAGATGATGATACAAAGGAAGAGGAAATGCAAATGGCGGAAGTCGGATGACGTCGCTGCCTGCTTGCCTGCCTGCCTGCCTTTCCGCCCGCCCTAACCAGATTCTTCCAACCACAACCACAACCACAACCACAACCACAACCACAACCACAACCACCGCCACAGCCACAACAAGCCTGCGACTATTACGCTATCATTACAATACACTTGATCTACCGCTCGAATACATGGTTCATGTTGACAGCATCATAGTCATTAAATTCGTGGTCTCTACGACTTGTGAAAAATGTGTACATCATCTCCTTCTGCAGCCTCAGGCCCAGGCTCAAAGCCCTTCATGACACCTTCCACCGCTCATTGCACCTTCGGGAGCGCCGCGTGAAGGGGCAGCTGACGCGAAGAGCTACCAACATGGACCTTTTTCGGGTAAGAAGTAATGACCCAGTCCTGAGCCGCAACGTCCCAGTTGGACAGATCGCGACGAGTCAGGGTAGTCGTCCACACCGTCTCCTCGGAGGGCTTGAGGGTAAGGCGGTCGAATTTGCGCAACACAACCCTGGGCTCATTGGGTCCACCAAGGGAAACATACTGGCAAACGGTTAGCATCCGAAATTAATACTGCACGGGAGATTTAATTACTAGTTGAGGTACAGCATCACCAGCAACACGACCAGTGTTCTTGACTGTCACCGAAACGCGGATCAACTCATCGTAGAGGCGGGGGTTACCACCGAAGCCACCACCCGCAGGCAGAACGGGCTGGGGAGAGCCATCGGTAGCACCCTCGGGGACGTGCTCCGCGGTGTCGACACCATAGTACGGGTCGCCAGATGAGGCCTTGAGGTCGGTGGAGTTAAGCCAGGGGTAGATGAACTTGCTGATTCTGGTCAATCCCTCAGGGTACACATAATCCGAGGCATTGCCGACTTGTCCGAATGTGGGAGCAGCGCCAGTCTCAGTGGCTACTTGAGCGTTGGACGAAGCGTTGAGAACCTGGATGTGAAGGCCAGAGTAGTTGAAAGTGGTGTAGCTCAGACCATGTCCGAACTCGTAGATCGGGGTCTCATTGCGCTTGTCGAATCCGCGGTAGTCAATGAAAACACCTTCCGAGAAGTCATCTTGGGGAGCCCCGTTGCCGTTGTTGGGTTCGCGGACAAGGTAATCCCCGTACGCCTCCCTCGTCTTGCCCCAGGTGAATGGCGATTTGGCGCCCGGGTTGACGCGGCCGTAGAGCACATCAGCCAGGGAGTTGCCAGACTCCTGGCCAGGCAAACCGGCCCAGAGGATGGCAGTGACATTGGGGTGGTCATACCACTCGTCGACCAAAACCGGTCCAACGGAGTGGATGACAACAATTGTGTTGTTGCAGTTGTTCGCAGCAGCCTTGATGAGGTTGTCGCCATTCTTCCAGAGGGTGAGGTTGTTGCGGTCGCCCTCGTTTCCGTCCACAGAGATATAGCCCTCTCCCGAGTCCGAGTTGACAAACACAAGAGAGACACTACGGAGATAGATGTTAGTTCACCGAAGCATCAGATTTGAAACAACGATATGGACGACAGGACTTACCTGGCTTGTTTAGCGAGGGTCTCCACCTGGCTCAGCGCCCAGTTGTCAGTGATGGCATAGACGCTGCCCTTGTGCTTGAGCACCTCGGCTTGAATAGCCTGCTCAGGGGTCACAAGGTATGGGAATTCGGCAGTGCCACTACCCCAAGCCATGGCAAGAGTACCGTTGTCACAGCCGCGGTCAGAGCAGCCATTGGCACCGTACGAGTTGGATCCGGCGTCTTCACCCAGGATCGCAACTTTGCGCTCCTTTCCGGTCAGAGGCAGGGCATTGTTGTTCTTCAGTAGAACAGTGCTGTCCGCTCCCAACTTGCGAATAACCTCGCTGTGGTTGCGCTGCACATTGACAAAGTGATTGACCTTCTCATAGGGACCTTCTTGAGGGTAAAAGTACTTGAAGCCGTATTCATCGCGAGTCCAAGAGCTGAAGTTAGGCGGCTGGTACAGGCGGTCGCGGCCAACCTTGTAGTAGGCAGCCATGATACGAACGGCCATGTCGTCAACGCGCCACTGCGGGACGGTGCCGTTGAGAACAGCAATGGTCAGGTTGGTACCCCAGAAACTAGTGGCAGAATCGAAGGTGATATCACCAGGCATTGACATATCCAGGCCGGCCAAAGCAGAACCAACGCCACTGTGGTGAGCACCCCAATCAGACATCACGAAGCCCTGGAAGCCGAGCTCGGCCTTCAGAAGCTTGTTCAGCGTGTAACTGTTCTGGCAGCCGTAGCTGTTGTTGATCTGGTTGTAGGAACACATGATGGCGCCAACGCCTGCGCGAACGGCATCCGCGAAGGGCCAGAGGTACATTTCATGGATGGTCTTGTCATCAACGTTCGAGCTGACCGTGTCGGAGATATTGAATCCGTAGCCCGCAGACTCTGAGACCTGGCGGAAATGCTCTTGCTCATTGAGAATGTAATGCTTGGCTGTTGCCACGACACCAGCATCTTGAATACCCTTGATCGTCTCCGCAAAGAGCACGCCAGTAAGAGCCGGGTCTGGAGAGAAACCTTCCCAGTTACGACCTCCATCCGGACTCCTGCCGAGGGGACCCGCGGCCGGGCCCAATTGAACATCGATTCCTTTGTCACTGAATTCCTGACCCATAGCCTGGCCACGGAGATAAGCCAGGTTCTTGTCCCATGTCGCAGCAACGTTGACACCAGCAGGGAAAGCCGAATTGTAGTCACCTGTAGGACACATTGTTAGCAAGAGTGTCAGCGGCCGGGCTCGAGTTAGATCAAGTCTTACTGTCACGAATTCCCAAGGGACTGTCCTGGAGACACATGCCACCGATGTTCAGTCTAGACAGCAGTCGCCAGTTAGCCGACTAGAAACAAGTTCATTTTTGAAGGGTTCTACCTTGGAACACCACCAGTCTGACCGACACACTTCTCCAGCTCCCATCTAGAAGCTCGTTAGCAGGCGACTCATCTCGCGACAATTGTGGTTTCATTACCCAGTTCCGGTGGTGAGGTTGACCTTCTCATCCAGAGTCATCTGGGAGACAATGGCCACTGCACGCTGGTAGGCTTCCGCCCACTCTCCCTGGCCATTGGCCCAAGGGGAGGGATAGAATGGAGGAGAGAACGCCAATTTATCCTGTAGAGCACGACTCGTCAGCCTCAGGTTAGATCTCTAGAAGCATCGAGGACGCAGAAAAAGCAACATACAGCGCTGACGACAGAGGCAGCCGTCAAGGCAGCCGCCTCAAGCCAACTGAGCTTCATGATGGCGTAGAGGTAGCTGAAGAAAGAGGAAACAACGAGCTAGCCAGCCACACAGCTTGCGCTCTCGAGAATTTGAGAAAGATGTCGAAGTAGTACAAAGGTGGAAGGACAAACAAGGCCGATCAGGGGGGGGGGGGAAGGGAGGAGATATAAATAACCCCAGCAACGAAGAGAGGGGGCGCCACAGCTATGAGAGAGACCAGCGACGGTGAATAAAATCAATCAGAACCTCTTGGCCTATTTTTTTTGCGGAGCTACCCACTCAGGAGTGAATTGATGTCTCGCAAACAAGAAGTCAAAGTAAGCAAGCACCTGGTCGGCCATGGACTGGGCGAGTGACGAGTGGTTCCATTCGCTTGGCTCTGAGCATGGGGATCGACAGGGAGGAAGCCAAATCGAGGCAGAGACAGGCGGCGATGGAGAGAGCATGGAACAGTCGGAACTCGGGCAAGTCAAGCGATTGTATTTGCCGTGATTCACTTAGCTGGGGAGGAAGCTGCTGCTGCTGCTGCTGTTGCTGCTGCTGCTGCTCCTGCTCCTGCGTCCATGCACTCGGCTCGGCAGCATGACCTGCACACCGTATAACACTCCGACTCAACGAGGAATTTCTCATTCTGGCGATGGTTCACAGCCGAAGCGCAGAAAAGTCAAGCGGAATGACCGAACCCCACACCGACAGAGTCCAGCCATCTGGGGATGACGGAATGAGGTGGATGGAAGTACTGCAGTTACTGTGGACAGTCCAAGGGACTACTAAACTAAAAGTTTACTGACTGGCTGGTAAGTTACCGCTGGTACCGCTGTGGGGCATCCACTCGACTCGGCCCTGGTAACCTTGGGGGGTAATTCCGTTACGCTATACGGGCTGTTTACACTCCGATCCCTTTCCCCAACTCATCCTCCCTGACATGAACCTCAAACTGCCCTATGTGCGATGATATCTTTCCGGCAGGCCAGCAGAATGCGGTCGGTCGGGAGGTGCCTGACATTCTTGACTGAAACCAAAATATAAATAAAGACTTATCACTCGAGCCAATTCTGGCGCATTCCGATCAGCTTCGGGACACAATCAATCGGCTGCGGTACGGGATACAGCTCGATTACGGGGGTAACAATTCTCGGTCAAATAGCGGATTTGGACGACGCCCAAGAAGCTTGGTAGCAGAATGAGATGGAAGGTAGTATTGCTTTCAATTGACAATTGACAACAAGTCAACAGCTGTTCCCCGCATCGTCATGATCCAGCAAGCAATGGCTGATTAGACTATAGTCGAAGATAGTATAGTATAAGTTAGTCGACTAGTGGAATGTTACGGTACCGTCTCCCCAGCCATTCCCCGCATTTCCACTTCTGCATCCCGCTTGTTGGTCAGCCGCCCGAAGGAAAAGAAGAGGGGAAAGAAACCTGGAAAAAGAATCATCTGGGAATAGATTAATGGATCCCTGATGCGGTAATGCGGTGATGCGGTAACTAACAAGTCGCCTCCCATTACATCGTGGTCCGTCCTTGGACCTGCCAACAGAGCAACACAAACAGAACAGTGCCGAGGGGTCAACAACAACACACTGACCGTGCAAAAAAAAAAATAAAAATGTCATGCTTGTTTTTCCCGCCATGGCCTGACGGCGCCTTACATCCTTCGCCCGCAAGGGTCAGCCCATAGAGCCACCACTCCTTCCGTCGCAAGTCAAGACATTCATTCCATCCCTCTCTCTCCCAGTTAAGGCCAAGTCGGACTGCCACTCACCTGCTCGGGTCCCCGTTGCGAGGCAAAGAGCGGCAAGAACTCCGACGGGATTGTGTATGGCCTCCACGAATACATGGTAAGTCGTGGTCTCCCTCGGGATATTTTCTTCATCTCCCCGGAAAGTGGAACGTCCTGTCCCTCGCTGTGCCTTGACTGGTCTTCTGCCTTGGATCGTCCCCCATTCTTCCCCAATCAAGGCTCTCGGCAGTCGGCATTGAGACTGCATGGATTTCTCATCCATGAGTCAGTAACTAACTATACGTACGGTACGGGCTGACGACATTTCCCCGTGGTTTAGCCAGATCCAGGGTTAGCTTGGGAATTCTCTCGAACTCGGCCTGGTGCACTCGTGAGAGGATGTAGAGTATCTGGGCTGAGGTTATTCCCGGTGCGCATTGACTCCGAGCAGGCCCAGCCAACATCAGGTTTGCAATGAGATGTGCTATTGCCTTCCCAATCGACGAGAGAGCAGGAATGCAGGCAATGCGATCATATTAGCCTATTCAAAAGATAAAGACCCGACAATTTACCCAGACAGTCTGAGAGGTAGACCATCTCTCGCAGTTCGTCGACATTTCCCTGTCGGATACCCTGCAGTTTTGTGCTCGGTCCGCGCAGGAAATTTGGGGCGGGCTGGGCTGGGGTTGCGGGGAAAGCCTCCGTGGGGGTTTGTTTTTTTTTTTTTTTCTTCCATCATCGTCATCCCGAAGACCACGATTCCGGGACCAAACAGTCCCACACTAAGCGACTGCCCAACAACCCGAGGGCTAGACACACAAAAGCCGTACATGCACTTGGAAAGTGGAGAGTATTTCTCCGTGTCTCCACATAGCCTCTCTTCGTATTCTGGCAGGAAAGCGATCTAATGTGGCACTACCTGAGTACTCCGTATGTACTCCGTACTCTGCCCCCCTCGTGGACTGTCCAGGGTTCTGCGCTATCGCCTGATACCCCGGAATGCGAATTCCGGCGCGGGCAGGACACCACCCCGGCCGATAGCGGACCCGGCACCGGAGGGTCCATGCTTGCGATGAAGAGACCATTGCTGCAGCGCAAGTGGTTGGAACAAATTATTTCTGTGCTTAGTCGGGTCATTGAACTGTATGTGGTCATGGTTTCGATGGTAGCTTTGAAGAGCATAATGTTTAGCTACTGCCATTGTCGGTTGTCCAGAGATTTCAGACCTCCGCGGTATACTCCCGGGGCCATTCTGATCGCGATAGCAAATATAACACACTGACCCATAGTATGCGACTACATCTCTTCCTCGCGTAGACATTCTCAGAACCTCATAAAACTCGGCCACCATCATATCTAGAACCCAATGCTATCTCCCACCCTTAAGATCTGCATCTAAGATCAGAAGAAGTAGCCAAACCCATGGAAGAGGCAAAGAAGCAACAAAACACTTTGCATCTGACCACAAACATACAACATGTCTAATAACCCAATCCAGCACCTTTCCAATCCACCTCATACTGTACCGAAGCCCCTGCACTCGCAGTCATATCCCGAGCCTTCTTATCATGAGCCTAGGCCAAAGACCGTCCCGTAGAACACACCGATGTGAAGTATCCAAGCACAAACAACACCAGGTATAGTCCCGAGAACCAGCCCCAGCCAACCAACCGACTCCCCGAGCCCCAGCATCGGCATCCCTCCCCTCCCCTTCTTCGGGGATCTGCAGCCCTCAGGGCTCAGGTGACTTGCATCTCGGGCTCATTCGCCGAGTTCTTCCTCCAGCCTGGTGCAATGCGGTGCAGCGCAGCCTTGCCGTCCCATGCACCATAATCCTTCCCCGATGTCCTTTCCTCCCGACTCGTCGGAGTCCCGAGAAAAAAGGCGTCGTGGCGCTAGAAGATGGCATCTCGGTCTCCGAGGTGGACATAACATCCTCCTCAGTCACCCATGCGAACTTCTGATGCTCCTTAGGGTTCAGCTGAACCTGTTTCTTCTCGGTGATACCAACAATGTAAGCAAGGCCGACCCAGTCAGACATACACATGCCGCTTTGCTTATTTTCGTTTCCACCTCTTGACTGATAGGTGCTGGATGATCCGTGATACTTGCAGGCCAGTCTCTTCTTGGGTCTCTCGATATATCGCATCGAACAATGTTTTGTCCGGGTGAACATCCCAAAGCCCAGGTTTGCTATCACAGAGGGCTCGTTAGTAGTCCTGTTCATACTGCTTATTCCACAAGTCCTTCCTAATCCTGCCCAAAAGAATTCTGGGCATTTCCAAAGGCAAATGGGGGGCCCCTGGCAGGAGGTTTTATATCACGTGACAGTCTGCTGCCAGCCCCTTATGAAGCAAATTTGCCCTCCCCCCCCCCACGATCACTTAAATCTATATTAGTCCCTTTCCTAATTCCACCCTTCCTCTGTTTGCCTTCGTGGGATTTCTCTCAATCATTCACACCATGAATGGTGACCCACTGTTAATCCAACCGGAGGGAACTGTTTCTTTCATCGCGCTGGGATCGGCAGGGGCGGTCTTCCAGGACAGCGACGGACAAGTCATCAAAACCGCTCTCAAGCACGATACCCAAGGGTGCGAGGAACATGTCGTCGAGCATGTGCAACATATAGAGTCCATCTCGGAACTATGCATCGGCCGTGAGAAACTGATTTACCGAACCCTACCCAAGAACCCTCATATTCTCGAATGCCTCGAAATTGGGGACAACAGCTTCCGGTTTCCATATCATCGACGTGGAAACCTGCGTGACTAGCTCCGACACAACCGAATTGACAATCATATTCGAGACCGATGGATTGGGAATGCTATCGACGCCATCAAGTGGATACATTCCTATGGTGTTATCCATGCCGACATCAGTCCCCGTAACTTCCTCGTGGCCGACGACCTATCGATCAAACTTTGCGACTTTGCGGGATCGGCCATCCGTGGCTTGCGGCCTTTGGTCGAGGAGGAGGACCGTTACCGAATTGCCCCCTTGACGCCGCGAACTTGCAAGACCGATCTGTTTGCACTGGGCTGCTTGGTCTATGAGATTTCCACCGGAACTCGTCCATACGAGGAGATCGAAGATACTAAAGAAGTTGAAAAGCTTGACGACGCACAGGAATTTCCAGATATCGATGGTCTCAAATATCAGAGCATCATCTACAAATGCTGGACATGTCAATATACTGACGTGAATATACTTCGCGGTGACTACAGTCATTGTATAAGCCCAGAAGATTATGAAGGAACTCCTGTAGCACTATGAAAGTCCATAACGGCATGTTTACGTGAGAAGTCAACGATTTCAACAGCGTTAGGTATTATTGGCTTCGGCGTGGTTTGGGGTTGGGTATATTGGAAGCGACGGTAGTAATGTGAATGTGATGACCTCGTGCATTCCATGCTACCAAGATACCTTTTGTCTCTCTAATTCTAGCGACAATTCATTCTTCTCTAGGAACTATTGTGTCCTCTTATGCTTTTTAAAGCGTATATTGCTAGTCTGAGATTCTGCAGGCTTCAGAAGCAGAGTTCAGCGAATTTGTTTTTAGATTTATATATTAACTTTAGACCTTTCTAATAGATTGCTAGCAACTATTCAAAGCTTAGAAGTATAGTATAACAGTACTAATTTAGATAGCAAAAAACGGAAACTCTAAATATCTATCAATTGGTTATGATAAGAATAAAAAAAAAACTAGGGCGGGAGATTTTGGTTGAGTTTGTCGTATCAAGTCGTCGTCGTTTGGAAGACTCTTTTGCGAATCCACTTGTCATGTCGAGTGATCGCTTGCGAGACCCGGGTCGGTTCAGGTCATCGCTAGAGCGCTTTTTCTGTGCGCCTCTAAGGGGAGACTGCGTTGATTCTACATTGTTGCCCATGCGTGGCCGTCGGTTCTCTTTATGGAGTTGAGATCGAGTAGTCGACACATCCTCCTCACACCAGTTCAGTGACGAGGGGCTGTGAATTTGAATGATCGTGTAGCGAGGTATCTGGCCAAGAACTTCCCTCGTACGTCTCGGGGTATATATTGGAGCGTAGGTGATGGGCAAGTGTGTCGCAGAGAAGGGGTGGAGGCTCCGGATATGGGCAGCTCGTCACTGCGATAACGGCATCGTTCATACTTGTATGGTGGTGTTCATCTTCCATCTCCCAGGGTCCATTGGTGGAGAGGATTACTGGGTCGATGGGAATGCCATTTTGCTCGTGTGCCGGTTGGAGAGACTCTTGCCAATTCTCGTCCGAGCTGGATATACTGGATGTGGGCGCATAACTTGCCATCTGCTCTGCGAAAGAGGGCGCCTCAATTGGGGAGTCAAGGGTATCGTGAACAGCCTGCGATGTGGCTGAATCTCGATTCGATATTGGGCTAGCTCTATTCTTTGGAGATGAGCTGAGCCGGTGGGTAGGTTGCGTATCGGATGGTGTGTGGTGCGTTGTGCCAGAGCGCAAGGCAGATGATCTCTGAGATGGAGACTGAGGTCCCGAGGAAGTGTCAGACGATGCAACAGTACTTGCCGGCCGCGCGGGGAGCTGATGCTTGGAAACCTGGAGAAGCTTGGTGATAAGGGGCTTTTCGGAAGAATGGTATGTGATGGGAAGTGTGAGGAATCTCTGATTTGTAGCTATCTGACAGAAACTATCTATACTTGACCAAAGACAATAAGCTGCTCAGTCAATCAGAAAAAACCAGATATTCTATTAAACGTATTAGGCTTTCGATTAAATTTTAATATAACAGCTGGTTCTTATCACTATGCTTTTCTATACTTTTTTCTTTATAGCAATTCTTTATATGTACTTTGGCTTTATACTTAGAATGTGCAGCGAGCTGAGGGGGTTTAACAGCAGCTCTAAGTCTTAATTATCTAAGATTATTTATTAACCATCCACCTCAGTGGTCTTAGCTAGTTCTTGTAGTCAGTCTGATATAGTCAGAATCCATTCATCTTCCATCTCTCTTGGAGGCTTCATCACTAGGTATAACTATATAATCTGTTACTGACAGCAAGTACGCTAACACAGCAATCGGTCTCCTGGTCACGATGTAGCCCATCCTCTGCAAGGTCCGGCTCGAAACGCTACATCGGTCGTTCCGGGAGAGAGGGCTATAGATTCAGATCGAGCTTAGTATTGTGGTCAATTGAATCATTGCGCCGTTGTCCATGGTATGCACTTGTCTTCATTCGGAACCGACGAGCCTCAAGACGCGTGCTGATAAGAATTGGTGCTGTGCGCAGCTGGGACTGGCCTGGGCATTTCTACCAGGCGAGAGAGGTTTGAGAGAAGGACTAATGATAGTTGATATTGCGCGTTACATTGCCATGGTATGTTCACACCCTGGCTTCCCAGGACACAACGCCATGTAGTGCAGGATTAACAGACGCAGGTTCTTGTTTGGACAGGACTTGCGGGCGGTAATGGCGAATCCTGCGCCATCTTCGTGGCGGTCAATTCAATACTGCAGATGGTGCAGTTCGCGCCGGTTCCATCCTCTTTGTTCGTATCATTAGCGGATCGAATCAGCACGCGTTGACGATTGACTATCCCCTGACTGCGAAAAGCGTCGGGGTATTCCTGGGGATTCCGTTGGGAGCAGCGATTGCCACCCGCATTGTCCTGCGCTTTTGAAGTAGCAAATGGTACGATGAGCAGTTCTTGAAGTGGATCAGCCCATTGTCCTTGATCGGGCTGCTCTTTACGATTCTGGTGCTGTTTGCTGCTCAGGGAAAGCAAGTGGTGCATCATATCACTTCTGTGGTCAGAGTGGCGCCCCTCATAGTTTACTTTTCGGTGATAATTGCGGTTACGCTTGCCATGACACGACGATGTGGCTTTGGATACCGGCTGTCGTGCACACAAAGCTTCAGTGCGGCAAGCAATAACTTCGAGTTGTCGATCGCAGTGGCGATAACCACATCTGGTGTGGATAATGATCAGGCACTGGCTGCTACCGTTGGGCCGCTGGTCGAGGTGCCGGTGTGGTTGGGATTGGTGTGTGGTATGCCAGGAAGCGGAGGTGGGAGGCGTAAATCCTAGACTCATTTCCGTTCCTCAATTCGATAAAATACATCCTAGAGCTATCCGTGCCAACTAGGGGGCTGACCCTTGGGAGTTGGCTGTAGAGGTTACAGAGGCAACTTAGTTGTTGCTAATCTCGTCAAGAACCTGGAACAGAATCTGGTTCTGCACCCTGCACCCCTCCTCCGTGGTGAGGCCCTTGGAGAAGCCCTCCCAGAGCTTGCGTCTGATCTCGTCTAGCTCGACACCCCGCGTGTTGTACTGTGTTATGAGTTCGTCGGCGATGGCGCAGAGAGTGGTATTAAGGACATCTCCACTGTTACTATCCGGCCATGACGTTCCGCTTTCGTCGGGTGAGCAGCCACAAACTGACTGGTCGTGGGATTTCTCTCGATCATTCTTCATCGGGTGACCGGGCAGGTCGACGGTAGACTCGCTCACTTTATCGACCGGCTTCGAGTCTGGGGGTGGCGATACTCCAGCAGTATCAGGAGTGGTCTCAGAACGACAAGTCTGCTGGGCACGGCCACGACACGATCGAGCCTTCACGCCAGACTGGGGGAGACTGGGAATGGCAATCTTCTGCGTTGGGCTTGGGTCATCCACCGTCTTTTCTAGATACTCCTCGATCGCATTGGATGATATGCCCACATCCGACAGTAAACTTCTTAGTCTCCGATTCTCTGCGTCGAGACCTTGGACCGTCAGTCGGTGTTCGACATCCTTCTGACGGACTTGCTCCTGTAGGGAGATTAGTTTCTGCTCTAACTCGCGAGTATGCGCCTGCTTTCTGGCACGGCTCCTTCGTTGGTTCTCTCTGATACGTGCAAGTCTATCTGCAACCTGCGTGTGATGTTTGGTCAGAACTGTAAATAGCTTGACAGAGCGGGCACGGAGTGCTAGAAACCTTTGGAGGCGATGGCGAGTCCATTCTGCAGTGAGTCGGGGATTGATGTCTGAGCAACAGAGGATTGTTAGGAGCCAAGCAGCATAATTCGACAACCTGTGCGAGGAGCTAGGGAGTACTAAGTAGGTTCATACCTTATGCAATTGTGATGCAAGATTGTCCCTCACTGCGTTATTGGCAGAAACTGGATGCCGTAGTCGCCCCGTGCCCGCGGCCTCGGGGTCCATTGCCCGATTAGGACGTCTAGGGCGAAGGATCCGGGAGGTCTGGAACTCGTCAGTCTGAAAGATTGAAACGAGATAAGGGATTGACAGCAAAGCCACTCGATGACCGACCCACCGACTGGAGGTCATAGCTCAGAAACTTCGGTACGATATCAGATCAGATATGGGAGCCCTTTAGATCTGGATTTTGGGGGATTATGTGTGCCCGTCCAAGCAATGTAGTGCCAATAATATAGCACAGTGTACAGTGAATACTTTGTATACCAGATGGAAGGTGATACCATGAATCAATTGTGAAGAAAGGTGTGTCTGCTGCCCGCACCATGTTCAGGATCCTAGACGTCGATAGCTTCTCCCAATATGAATATGACAGATCCAGCCGCAAGACATCAATGGAATGATTCCATGGAACAGTCATAGAAGCCGCGACGAAGCTATGAGTGGCTGCAGGTCTGCATGTAACGTTAATCTGCACGACGTCACTAGCCGCCCTCGGGTCAACCCATTCATCACTCCTCGTTCATTCAAAGAGCTCTCAATCTCCATCCAACTCCCTCAATTCCATCAATTGACGACGACCACCACCACCATCCTAGCCTCCACCTAGCACTTCCTCTTCCTCATCGCCCACAGCACCAATATTGTATCCGAATCGACACCAACCAACCAACCAACCATGGTCTCAACCCGCCATCACCCCGACGACTTCCCACCACCTCCAACCTCCCCAACCCCAAACACCAACACCAACGGCAACAACAACAACAACACCTCCAAAAAATGGGTCCACACCCCTTCGACCCCGATCACGCTGTGGCTCCTGTTCTCCGTGCCCCTCGTCCTCTGGGACGCGGGCTACGTCCTCCTCCGCCCGCACTCCATGCCGGGCCACAGCCTGCACTCGCCGCTGTGGACCCCCTACGCGCTGTACGGCACGATCGACTACATCTACGGCTGGCCGGCCTTCAACGCCCGCAACGGCTTCACCGCCGCGCAGACCGTGCTGAACCTGTTCGAGAGCGCCGGCTACCTCTACTACCTGGCCGTCGTCTACCGCCACGGCACCAGCCTGACCGCCAACGGCCGCGGCGGCCAGCGCCACCCGCACAAGGGCGTGGGGTGGTTCCTGCGCGAGACGAAGGTGGTGGCGGGGCGGACGGGCGCGCTGGCGCTGCTGGTCGCGTACAGTGCTTCGGTGATGACGTTGGGGAAGACGATTCTCTACTGTAGGTCTCGCTCACCCTCCCCCCGCTTGTTTTCACCTCTCCGAGGGCTGAAGGGGGGGGGGGGGGGGAGGTTGATAGGGTGATCGATTGCTGATTTTGATCTCCAATTTTACAGGGTTGAACGAGGTGTTCTCCGGGTTTGAGAACATCGGACACAATGATTTCTGGACGTTGGTCTTCTTCTGGATTATTCCTAAGTAAGTTGATCTTCTCTCCCCCCCCCCCCCCCCCCCTTTCCAAGCTCATGAATGGGCCAGAAGGCTGATCAGCCAATTGCAGTGGTCTATGGATCGTCTTCCCCAGCTACTACATCTATATCCTTGGAGCGGAGATCGTGGCAGCGTTGGAGACCTCGGTCCCGCGGCAACGGGTCGGGCGACCCAAATCTTCGTAGGCTCAGTTGGCCCAGGTGGATGTGAGAGTTCAAGAGATGCATTTGATGGCAGAGCCTTCAGTCCTAGGTTAGGGCTGTGTTAGGGTTGGGATAAGTGATTGAGGGGCCTAATATATAACCAAGTCCAGCATGGCATCATTCTCATCATCCTTTAGCGATTCTCCTATTCGAACATCTTACCCCAGCACCTTTCCTATTTATGTACTGTACCCTATGTACGCTTCATGTATAGTACTGCTATCGGCTCTTATCTCTCATGTAGACCGAAAGAATGATTTTTTCACAATGAAAGGGGCGACACTGCCACTGGGCTGTATTAATGTACCTCTTTCCTCCAGAGGAAAGAATAATGCAAGGGACCTACCCACGGCGGACTGTGCACCTGCCACCTGCCACCTGCCACCTGCCACATCTACTGGGCGTCCTATCCGAAGGTTAAGCGAGAGTCACCGTTCCTTATCTACCAGTAGTACTACAGCGCCCGACATGACAAGCGGAGATCGCACCATTCCGGTTGATCTCTTTCACTTTGGGGTCTGTCCCCGGGCTGCCGGCGAGTTTGACGTCTTCCCTGTAGGAACGAAAGACACCCAGCCCACCACTTCGATGCGGACACGGTGACAAAGAAAATCGTAGAGCTTGTTGGTGCCTGGTGCCCTGATAAGATAAAGACCGATCAGCATCAAGGTACCAAGCACAGCCCTCGAGATTTGCGATACTACTCTCTGACAGTGTTCCCTCGTCTCTCTTCACCCCTTTCTTCGTTCCAAGGCGCGGGCCGAGATTCAGCGGGAACCATCCAGTCCCAATGTCGTTTCGGGTGGTGGCCAAAGCTTGGCGAAGCCGGTCTGGCACCTTGGTATACAGTAGTAAGTTAGTTAACGTTAATTACCCTCAGGTATGCCCGTGGGCAGGGTTGAAAATGCTAACCGCGGTGATGGGCGATGAGCGAGTTGCTTGACCATTAAGGCCGCTACGACGCATCAATCTAGTTTAACATAACTAATCATATGCCAACCTCTTGAGCCAAAGTAACTTCTAACAGTCCTTCAACCATTTCGACCTCCATAGAAAATACAACATAATCCACCTAGCCTCTCCTGTTGGTGCCGACTACAAATGACAGTCTTTGAGTTCTTCTGGTCAGATCAAAACAGCTATACAGCTTCAGCAGAATGGCATATATTGATAATCTATTCCCGCTGAACCTGTTCTCTTAGCTTTAACTCATTTATGCCTATTCTATCATCGGTGTTCTTGATGACAGCATCACCAAAGCAGGTATAATTCAGTCTGTCTTCCTTCTCTTCACTTCGTCATCCTTGGCCTGACTCAAAAGTGCGCCCCTCTCCTCTGCATCTATACCGTAGGGTGTGTTTCGCAGCCAGAGAATCCACGCAACCAATAGGACTGCGGTTAAAGGTACACTGATGACGAAATAAATCCAGACTTCCTGGCGATTATTCTGGAAACCGAACATGTTCGTTGAGAATAGCGTGGCCACAAATGCCCCTGGGAGAAAGACGATGGTGATGACTGATAACGTCTTCATTGCTTTGGAATCCCGGAGAGCTTCCCTCGCTAGCCTGGACTGCATATTATTGTCAAATTGAGCGATCAGACCGTAGAGCTGTCGATGAATCAAAGCACATCAGTCAGATGGTTCTCATACAGTAATTTGGAAACAACGCAACGCCGTGGTTCTGGCTATGGCGATCAAGCGGGCGACTTTACCACGTTGCGTTGACTCTCCACCTTCAACGGGAGGGTCTGCATGTCGAACTCGCGACTCTCTGACAGTGCAGCAAGGATTGCAATTGTCCTCATGGCTGTCTCATTAGACCTGGTGTGTTTCTTCAGCCGTTCCCCGAACTCTTTCTCGAATCTCCATCTCTGACCTAATTCGACGAGTTGCATACTACATTCATGCAGCGTCTTACTGAGCAAGCGGTGCGATTGCCTTGCATCATCGGGCTTGCTGGTTCCCTTCAGCTCCTTAAGTAATCCGGCATCCACCTCGCGCAGGGTCCGGAGCATTTTCTCAAAGGTTCGTGCAGTGAACTCAACGTGCGCTTTGTAGAGCTCGACCGGCAGCAACATCGGATAGATCTCGGAGGCTCCTCGGATCGCCGTATGGACTCGTTGGAAGTCAAAAGCCTTATCCGCCTGAATAACGACCGCTATCCGGCAGAAAGAATCACGACCCGCTGTGTTTGGCTCGATGTAGAGAACCACAGACCAGAAGCCTGTGTGGTAAAAGGGCGTTTGGATAAGACATGGTGGTCAATCTAGTGAGTGAGAGTGTTGCTTGGCTAAGGAGGAGCGTTTCCGTACATATCGCTTCTTTACTCTGAGTGGTCGATGAGAAGAACTGGCATGTTCCTCCTTCGGTCAAACGAGCATAAGAACAGTCCGTCGGGAGTTCGAAGAAATCTAGCAGCATGGGCGATCCATTATCTAGCAGTGTGCGGATGTCGCCCATGGTATTCAAGCCGGTCTGATCCGACTGTTGCAGTCTAAGGTTTCCGTTTAGCAAAAGTCAAGCCTTCCCATCAATCGAAAGCAAATACATACATGATTCCTAACTGCGTCGTGGGTTTCTGTGACTGGCTTAGAGAATTCTCACTCATCATGGCAACAGTAGACGGTGTCTATGTCAGCTGCAGTCAGTACCTAAAAAAAAAAAAAACACACAGAGTTTTGAGGCCGATTCTATTAGAAAGTGGCGCACTGGAGTTTGTGCCATCCACGCAAATGATTCCTTCAAAACTCTCGTTTCAAAATTGAGCTCGAGTCTAATGTACTGGTGCTTTCTTTTCGCTGCCGGTGCCCTCCCTCTTGCTTAACGCTCCAGAACTCATAGTATCGCGATTCAATGTTCTGCAGCGTGCTCGACTGCCCTGCGTCAGAAGTAATATTGTCCAGAATCTCTCGCACAGGATACAGAGCAGTTGAATCGAGCTTGCGAAACTTGATCAGCGAGGAGATATCAACATTTCCTAGATTGCCGACATCAATGCTGCTGGTATCAATTTTACTTGGTAGAGATAAAGGAGGGGCATGCGGGTCAAGGATGATTTGTTTGGGTTGGCTTCTTTCCTCGCGACGAACGGCAGCGATTCCCAACGACACCGTTCCGAATTGTAATTGGGCGTGGAAAACCTCGTCTGATTCTCTTTCGACAAGCAATGCGGTTTGGAAGAATACTGCCATCCCATCTTGGCTGTCCGCAACATCGCGAAAGGTCCACACCACAGCGTTGTTGTTGTTGTTGTCGCCCCCAAGAGGGCTCGTGCCCTCCACTTCGACCTCTGGCCGACCATTAGACGACGTTATGGTTGTGAAAGTTTGATCGGGTGTCGAAGAATGGCCAAGCAGGAGCCGTCCATCTGGGGCGATCGCGCGGACATGTGGTGGTGGTGCTGAGCCGGAGCCAGAAGAGAATCGAATCGAGATCTTGGCAGATGCCGCGCGACGGATGCCCGGGGCCGGTACAAGGCGAAACTCGAATATAATAAGGCTGGCAGGCTTCAAAGTCTTGGGGCTCATGAATCCATGTAAGATTGAGACCAATTCGACTTTCACCGAGCTTAGGGGGCTTGGACGCCTAAGGGGCCTTTGGTGGTTCCACTTGGTCATCTCGCTTTACGTTATACCCCAAGTCCGCGTAATGACTGAGAAGCCAAGGACCTGAGAGAATTAGAGAGTTCAAGGCTGGACTGAGTTAACTATATAGGGTCTCTTGGATCATGCGTCAACTAAAAGTAACGACCTTACTGGCAAGGTATGGTTGTCATGCGGGCGCCTAACTACTGTGACCAATAGCTTCGCTGACCTGAGCTGTAGCTCTGCAGGCTATTCTCGCATATTTTCCTCCTCTGCCCCTCTCTTGCAATCCGATAGTATCCTGTTGATGGCCCTGCTTTCCTCATAGAGTGCCTGGCAGATATCATTTGTCAAAGCGTGTTCCGGACCACCCAACCAAGAGGGCTCTCTATCTTATTCTTGGGTCTCCCAGAACTGATTCGCACCTTAACCCATTGAAGCCTCCTTGTTTGCCTAATAACCAAAATAAGTGACGTGACACTAACAAGATCAACAAGATCGGAACACTCCATTGCTCAAGTCCGATCTTTACCATCCGTCCTGCTACAAATGAAAAACTGATGAAACAGGGCGGAATCGAATAGTAGAACGAGGGATATCCAAGGCAGGACACTCGGTTTTGCCACGTCTCTATAGTACCTAATATCAAGACACAAGATATCAATTAGCATCATTGGTCTAGTGGTAGAATTCATCGTTGCCATCGATGAGGCCCGTGTTCGATTCACGGATGATGCATGGAGTATTTCATTTTCTTTTTCATTTCCGGATGTTTTATTTCGGGTGGAATCAAGACGGTTCCTCTCTACTTACCGAAGTCGTCCTCTCGTTTTGTTTTGTTTTGTTTTTTTTTTGGGAAAAAAAAATCCAATGCCACTTTTCACAGCCCAGTGTCGGCACCGGTAACATGAATAGGGTCTCTCGAGTCACCCATAAGTTAACACCGAACATCTCAATAGTGTCGGTTTTCCTAGGATCATGACCCACCCTCAATGCTATCGGACTAATCCTCAGGAAGGGCACACCAGTTTAATAAGATCGCGAGTATATTTCCTGGTATATAGCACCTACATAATACATTTCAGAGTGACGGGGCATAAAAGCATCACCTCCACCATGCAACCAGCCATCCTTAACTCATGGCACTTTAACTCCGGTTCTTTCCTTCCCGAATACACAAAACCGCCGGTTCAACCAAAGGAACAATCAGTCGCCAATGTACGAAGATGAAAAGTAAAAATTATCAAGGGCCAATTGCACGAGTCAGAAAGAAAGATGCCACACGGCATGCCAGATGATCAGGCATGCGAGCCGCGATTCGTCCCCAGTCCCATGTCGTACGCACCCATGGACATAGCACCTGCACCCCCGAAGCCAGAGAGATCAGGTCCGCCAACAGGATTGCTGGTCGGCCCCCCTGGCTGTGCTGCTGGGTCGAGGTTGACCCCTGCTCCGGCACCGACCGGATCGAGGTTGAATGGAAGGAACCAGGCACTTGGTTGATAGTATTCCCCTGCGCCGGACGGCGCGTTGGGGTCTATCTGCCCGGTGAAGATAGTAGAAGTCGGGTCCTGGGTAGGAGGCATGTCAGGTGGCACCGGGGGCATAGCTGGCTTCTCAGGCACAGGAGGCACAAATGCCGCGGCAGCAGGATCAAAATCGCTGAACGAGCCATACACAAATTGCCGATCAAGCTGTGGGAGCTGATCAGCAGCCGGCATTGGAAAGTCAAACGTGGATTGACCGAACGGCGGTTGTCCATTGCGGTTATTAAACATGGCGGGTTGAGGGAAGCCTGTTCCAGTGGTGCCTAGCATTCCCGGTGCACCCTCCATAGTCACCTCACCCACTGACTGTGGCGGTGTGGCTTGGTCAAAGCCGGCGACACTGTCGCTTTTGCCGCTTCTCTTCGAGGATCGGCGTGGCATAGTGGGTTGTGGAGTGGGGGACAGGCTGGCGAAGAACTCTTCGACGCTTTGAAGGTCGGGTCTTTGGCTCATTACTCCTTCGTCGTTCTTTGACTTCGCCTTCGGGTCGGGCTCCTCCCAGTGAGATCTCGACATGCCATGAGGGTACTTATCGAACCAGTCGCCATACTGGAACATGGGGGTGATCTGCCCACCGTTCTGCGTCAATACAGTACCTTTGATAGCAGCGTCTGCAAATTGTCGATACCGATCCTTGGCGCTCTCGACCATATAATGGAACATACCCCAGTATTTCTTCATCTTGTTGAGGTAACGATATGTGTGACGTAGGTTCTCCTTGGACCGTGCTTCCAGCTGTGCGTTCTTGGAGAAGATTCCCCAGATATGAACCGTACTGGCGGAATATGCACAGTATCCGGCAAACGGAACTGTCAGAGGATAGGCCGAAGCACGGTCAATCAGCACGGAGATATGATGAGCTGCTTCTACTGCGGCACGGCCAGCATTGCTCAGGAAGACCTTGGGCATGTCCCGCGGTGGTCGCCCGCCTGGGGATAGTGGAATGGCGAACTGGTTCAGGAACAGCATGTTTTGGTGAATAATGATATGCAGAAAGAGAAACTGGTTCGCAATCCGATCGGCTGCGTGGATCTGAAGATTTTCATAATTGAAAGAGAGATGGCTGGGGAGTGATGCGGAAAATTCCTCGATCTGTCGCTTGAGGCGCATGTAGCCAGATTCAGGCGACCACAGCGGTTGTGTGTCTCTTCGTTTACCTCCTAGGTTCAGATAGTCGACTATGCGTCCCCAGATGACAACAGCACGGATAATGTAAGCCGATACTCCCATATTGTCTCGAGCGTTGGATAATTGGCCCACATCGTCGGGTACTGGGTTCAAAACAACGCCGTCCAGATCTTCGGTTGGTCCTGGGATCTCCATCTGGAAATGCGTCTCTTTGATCGGGAGCTGGATTTGCAAGAATTTCTCGTTACCAATGGGCGGGCGCTGGCTCCCAGAGGAGTTATATCGATCCATTAGAAAGCAAGCCCACATCGTTCGTCTTCGGATCTCACGGTCAGTGAAGCTGAGCTGCTGGGAGCCATTCCCATTTTTCTGAACAAGTAGAGGGTCATATTCGAGCTCCCGGTGCAATTGTAGAGCGTAAGCCATGCGCAGTGCTTGCCCGCCAAACGACCAACTCCGGCCGCCATGACAGGTACCAAATTCGTGAAGCCCCAATAACAAGAATACCGTCAGGATGGTAATATTTGGTTCGTCATGGCGGCTCAAGGCGATCGCCGCGGCGGGGTTCGCCCAGTTCTCACCGCGCAAGAAGGGCGGCTCGGAGTTGATCTGCGGGTGCGTCGAAAACCGCGCCGAGACGGCACAGACCGCTAGGATGAGTACGGGCGGTACCGTCCTCGCCTTGAGCCTTCGCATGAAGCTGGGTTTGTGAAGCAGTAGATAGGATTGGCCATAGACGCAGTCGAAGAATACCTCCGCCAGATGTTCTTGAATCTCCAACGAGGGCAGGAACTCGGCCCCCTCCGTCATCAGACCCGAGGCATCGCCGGGCTTACTCTCCCGGCGCATCGGAAAGGTGTCCTGCGGCCCTTCGCGACTGCCCCGGCCCCATTCATCCAGTTCCGCCGCGAAGGCTTCCTCCGCCGTGCGCTTCTTCTGCGCTTTCGAGGTCTGTCCCGGCTGCGGGGGCCGGACCACCGACCGACCAATCGCAGCCATGTCTCTCGTTTCTTCCTTCGGGATGGTCTTGATCACCCGGTCCTCCATGCGCTTCAGCCGCTTGTCGAGCATCGCCATGTAGTCGGTGCGGGGGGCCGCTTTCCTCGTGGTAACCTTGTAGACGCAGGGAATCCGGGAGCGCGAACAATGCTTGCAGGCGGGCTTCTCGCCGGAGCATCGGATCTTTTTACGTCGGCAGGCGATACAGGCCAGAGGTAAGCGCTTGCGCTCCTTCCCGGCCTTGGTCTTCATCTCGCTCCATGCGGGTTTTTCACTCTGTTGTGCGTCCGGGTTGAGTGCGGAATCCCCGGGGGGATCATCTCGATGCGAATCGTTCCCAGATTCCTGCAAGAAATTGGAATCGCCAGGTGCGATGACACTGCCGGGATCACGCGAGCTGGCGGGGCTGTGGGTGTCGAGGTCTTCGGGGAGAGTGATGTCGTCGGGGCCAAAGGCCAGGCCAGTGGAGGCCAAAGGGGAGTCGTCGGACTCGGGAGCCATCATGATGGGTGCAGATACCCCAAGGACCAGACCCGGATCATCGTTTGGCGGGTTGGGACTTGTGGGTGAAGGAAGACGGGGCCACAGGGTCTGGGGGTGGTAGTTGTGGGGGTGGTAATGGTGGTTGCTGTTGTAGTGATGGGGTTCTGCGGACGACGGGCTGAAACCGAGAGATGGCGGTGGTGGTGGGTGTGGGTGTGGGTGTGGGTATGGGGAAATCGAACTGGCAGGGTCGCTGACTGGTTGCTTGGCGTGACTGGCCGCCTTCATCCTTCCTCACAAGTTGGCCGATTACTAATGCCCAATGTCTCCAAGCTCTTTAGCAGACTGGCTAAAATGTTGGGCATGAGAAGGGGATACGGATACACCGGTTGTAAGAGCCGGGAGAGGCGTCCATTTAACCCGACTAGTTATATTTTTTTTGGTGAGTTTGACGGTTGCAGAGTCAAGGTCCCGTGCAACCTCGCTGCACGCCTTCAAGCCATTGCCTCATGGGCGGGCCGCTCCGGATGATTCATGAATCACTGTCACGTACATGTACAGTGACCAAGCGTCATGGATGTCAGCCCCAATGATTTAGAAGATGTGCAGGTACTGTAGGTAGGTATATGTCGATAGTAAATATCTTCGAGTGAGATATGACTAGTATAATAGTCATTCTTCCGGTATAGTTCGGGGCCCCGGTTGATCCCTGCAGAATACCCCGCAAAGTATGGAGTAAGTAAGCTCAGCATACTCGGACTGGACAACCAACCCTTTCTTTTCTGGAAGCACACCTTTCGTCGCTGAACTGACTCTGACAGGCAACATACTATTTCCTCATGATTTTCTTGCTAGTTTGCAGGCTATCATCCAATGTATTGTCCATTATTCTTCAAAGGGGCCAGATGGTACAGTTGGCACGGCCCCAGGTAGCGACACACGCTCAATCAAAGAGACTGTACATTTTTTCTTGAGTTCACAAGCGGGGGGATTACCCCGGTTCGAATCCGGCTCTGCTTTCTGCATTTTTCCTGCGCGATTCCTGCAAATACTTCCTTAGCCTGCAGGTTGCGGAATTCTGACATTGAGCTATATAGTCTAGTGAAAGGGAACATCCCTTGGCATACTTGCAGATGGTACAGTCGTCACACAATGTCCTTCACATGTTGCTGTGAAGACTATCTACAACAACAATAGATCAAAAGTCTGAACAACTGGCTCTACCTCTACAGCATTTCTTATGACACTAATATCTCCTTGGAATGACGTCTAACAGCCAATATTCTGCTCACGTGAGCTGCGATATACATCATACATTATGCCGTTGAGTTGTGCGCGGCTCAGAAGCCAGAAGTACTGGAATGGCTATGCTTATAAAATCATCTCATAACTCTGGTATACTTCACGACCGGTGAACATGACAGACGAGCGCATAAAACATCAAATACATGAAAAGAATCATATCAGTACAACCGCCAGGTTACAGCACAGGGTACCAAGATTTTCGTGTCACGCTCTAAATTAAACCAAACAGAAGCCAATACATGTATCTCCTTGACACACGGCGATGCGATGCGATGCGATGCAGTGGAAAGCAAAAGTCATATAACCGATGCATTTGCCGGCCATTAATCAGTCGTCCCATTCTTCATCCAACTGATCTATTAGTCTGTTTTCAGCGTCTAGATCACCTCGTCGCCCGTAGCTGGAAGCGCGCGTGTGCCCCAGGCTCGGGGAGCGGTTGAACCGGAAGAGCCGGCCGACGGAAGAGAGTAGAATGACGAACATGTCCTATAGTTCGGAGAACAGGGAATGAATCAGCATTGATTCCACGTTATATGGTATTCAGAACAAGAGCGAAAAGAGAAGAGATAGAGACATGTCGCTGCGATTCAGTACAAAAATGTTCAGTGACGTGGTATAGAAACTGGCTAGATATCGAACAGCATGTCCATGATGGCCCGCGGTGGACAGCCAACACCATAGCTCAAGCATAATAACTCATGTCCAGCACAGTATGATATATAGCCAAGGGGGAGAAAGTCGAAGGCGAGCTCCCAACATCCCGCAATTCAAGCTCTAGACCAGCCAGAGCGAAAATCAATCCAGTCGCGAGGTCGGAAGCCTTGTATTCCCAGATTCTTTGTACGACAGGTCTCGGTGCAAAAGCCGAGAACGACGGAACGGTATCAACGCTAGTATACTTACTTTGACAAAGTCGACTATACCAGCCCAGAGGCTGTAGTTCGGGCACTGCCTCCAGCCGCGCTGGTGCATGACAGTTCGCTGATAAGCGCAGCCACCGACAAGATAGGCTGCGATAGCAATCAAGGCACTGTGAACTGTCAGCAACATAAAAGTCCAAGTAAACGACAGCTGCGTACATGATGCCAAAGACCCCACCAGGCGAAAGCCCCTGGTTTGGAGGTATCGGAGCGGTAGCTCCGCAAGCGGCTGAGCTGCGCACTTCAAAGAAGTACGTGCATTGGTCCATTGTGCCGACAAACGAGACTGTCGCCTGGGACGAAGGCGAGTCTCGTTCGCAAAGGAATGACATGATGGTGGACTTAGTGTGGGTGCTACCGTTGCCTAGGTAGTCGCCCGGACATGGGGAGCCATCCGTGTAGTTCATGACCAATTTGCGCCCCCGGAAGAAGGGATCAGATGCCTGTTGCCTGCACGCTGTCAGTTGAAGTCCCGAGAGATCCCATGGGAGAAACCTACCCAATTGAGTATACCTTGCCCTCCTTCTCATAGTATGCGCTGACGTTCTTCCACCGGGCGCTATCGACTCCCACTACGTCTTTCACATCTTCCAGCACAGGCGCGCAGATGTTGACTGTGAAATTGGCACCGTAGTCATGGCCCTTGGCATGCCAGCTGCCTTCCCGAGCGTTCTTGCGAGGCTTTTCGCCCTCTGCAGGCGGAGGCGATATGGAAATCGCATTGAGATCGTAGAATAGGCCCGTGGTGGGGGAACGGACCACACAAGGTTGGAGGGAGTCTTTGGAGCCCGAAGAATCGGAGGCTGCGTATACAGGAAGTAGAGGAGCTGCGACACAGAAGAGGAGCTTGAGCAGGGAAGAAGATAGGAGCTTCATCGTGGGCGAGTGTGTCCCTTACGGAGGCAGCCGGGAGTTTCGGCGATAACAGCTCTCAGTCCGATGAGAGGAGATAACACAAATGAAAGACAATCCGGTTGTCTGGTGGAAAAGAGAGAGTAACGTGGTCGGAGGAAGATAATGATGGGGATACCAAGGGGAAGAGGAAAAGGTAAAAGAGAGACAAACACGGCCACGAGAGGATGGGATGGATGGATGCGTAGGAAAGAGCCGCGGCGCTGTCGTCGTCGTCGTCGTGGTCGTCGTAATGTGCGGAGATGAAACGTCGCATTCATTCATGGCAGGTGCGGAGACCAGCCCCGTCGGAGACTCGGAGTCAGTCCCGACCGGGTGTGGCTGACTCAGCTCTGGGATAAGCTTTCCTTCTTTTTCTTTGTTTCACCGCCCGGCTGAGCTCCATCCGGCTCGGACCAGCAGCTCTCAACATGGATGCCTGCTGCCAAAGCTAGTATTTATAATTGCTTAGCGTCCATTGATCGAAGAGCCCGGCCATTAATTCCCCAGCCTGCTTCAAGATGGCTCCCAAAAAGACCTCGAAATCCAAAATCCCCATTCAACCCGTGCCCGAGAAGCGCGGGTATGAGTTCTGTGGCCCGTATGTGATATCGTTCCTCTCCTTGAAAGACTACGCTGACCCATTGCACAGGCCCGGTGCCTTTGGAATTGTGTTCGGCCTTCCTCTCCTAGTATACACCTTTGCGTTCCTGTGTAACGATGTCTCCGGCTGCCCTGCACCGTCTCTACTCCACCCGTCGACCCTCACTCTCGAACAATTGAAGGAGGAAGTGGGCTGGCCCAAGGGGGGCTTGGCGGACCTCTATAGCACGGATGTGACCCTGTGGGTGCTCGGCTACTACCTGCTTAGTCTGGTGCTCTATGTGTTTCTCCCGGGCCAGGAGGCTGCAGGTACCGAATTAGCTTGTGGAGGTCGACTGCGGTACAAGTTCAATGGTTAGCTACCCCTGCATTTGCGTGTGTAGCAGCTCTGACTCTGGAACAGCATTCCCGACGGCGGTGTTGATCCTCTCCGGCCTTGCCACGTGCACCTACATCTACGGCTCGGACTTCATCGTCTGGACCTTCCTCTGGGACAACTACGTGCAGGTTCTCACCGCAAACCTACTGATCTCGACGGCGATCGCTGTCTTCGTCTACGCGAAGAGCTTCACCGTCCCGGCCCCTGGCCAACCCAACCCCGAGCTGCGTCAACTAGCCCCTGGTGGCCATACAGGCAATGTTTTGTATGACTTCTTCATCGGCAGAGAGCTCAACCCTCGCGTGCGGCTGCCTATCCCCTTCGTCAGCGAGGCCTCCCGCACCATTGACATCAAGTCCTGGTGTGAGATGCGTCCGGGTCTCCTGGGGTGGATCATCCTGAACCTGTCCAACATCGCTCGCCAGCACCGCACCTACGGCTACGTCACCGACTCGATCATCCTGTCCACCTTCTTCCAGGCATTTTACGTGCTGGACGGCCTGTACATGGAGCCTGCGCTCTTGACCACGATGGACATCATCATGGACGGCTTCGGCTTCATGCTCTCGTTCGGCGATATGGTCTGGGTCCCGTTCATCTACAACTTCCAGACCCGGTACCTGGCGGTCTTCCCGCTGGAGCTGGGACTCAGGGGTATCGTGGCGGTGCTGGCCGTCACCGCGGCGGGCTACTCGATCTTCCGGGGCGCCAACAACCAGAAGAACCGTTTCCGCACCGACCCCAACGACCCGCGCGTCAAGCACCTTAAGTTCATCCAGACCTCCAGCGGCTCGAAGCTACTCACCTCCGGCTGGTGGGGCTGCGCCCGTCACATCAACTACCTCGGTGACTGGCTCATGTCGTGGTCGTATTGTCTACCCACCGGTATCGCGGGGTATGTGGTCATCCAGGGCGTCAACCCGGCCACGGGCGACCTACAGAAGCAGGTGGTGCAGACCCCCGAAGTCCGTGGCTGGGGCATGGTTTTCACCTACTTCTTCATGCTCTACTTTGGCGTCCTGTTGATCCACCGCGAGCGTCGCGACGAGGAGAAGTGCAAGAAGAAGTACGGTGCGGATTGGGACCGATACACTTCTTTGGTGCGCAGTCGGATCGTCCCGGGGATCTATTGATCCGATCAGGGGTTTCAGGGATTCGTGGTTTGGCGTGTTGAGTGTAAGATGAAAAAGCTTTTTTTGCTGCTTTGAATTGGGGGTCTCTTTTCCATGGCCTGTACACTTTTATGGACGTTGTAATAGAAACTTACTTCATATATAATTTAATTCACCGTTTGCGCTTCTTCGGATTCGCGTCCACCAACACAGCCAACCCCCAATCTTCATCCCCGGCATTCGGCACCCACGGAACCAGGACGGTCTTCGCTTCTCGCAGAGCCCGTGCCCGCGCCTGGCCGGGTTTCGTGGCAGTGGCGATCGCTCTCTTGAAGTCGACATACGTAGCTGCATCAACAATCCGCCTTAACCCTTCATCGTCAACCTGGGCCAGCCCATCGTAGCGTCTCACACGCCCATCACGTCGACCCTGATTCTTCTGGGCATCCAGAACAACCTCCCGGAAGCTTCCCCACATCCGCGCGCGCGACAGCGCCGACGCCCCCCGCACCACCGGCGCGGACGCCTTACTCCCCTGCTTCACCCCGCCGATGATGCTCTCATACAGCCCCGTCCGACTCCCCGCCAGCTTGGGCAGCTGCTTGGCTCCGCTGGCGGGCCCCAGCACAACCAGCTGATCGGCCCCAACGGAGGGCGCGGCCACCCACACGGCCGAGATGGTCCCCGGCTTGTACTTTGTGGTACCCGTGGCAGCGGTCTGCGGCGAGTCCCGGGGCTTGCCGTACTGCCACAGGGAGTCGGCCAGTGCAGAGGGGATGGAGAGGATCTCGAAGGGGTGGAATCGGTAGCCGGAAGCAATCCCCCCCTCCTCCTTCTCCCGCTGCTCTTCTTCTACTTCTCGACCTCCAGATGAAGAAGCCAAAGAAGGAGCAAGATACCCCCCGACCAGCCCTTTCATCCTCCCCTCCCTTCCAAACGCCCTCTCACACCCTACTTTACTAATCTCTGTCTCGGGCAACACCACCCCAGCCAGATACGCGCTGGCCGTGACGCGGACCAACAACGCCGTCTCCGTGGATAGCAGGGACGAGACCTGGCGGAGGGCGAGCTTATCGGAGCAGGATTTGCTTTTGGTGGAGTCGGCGTCGGCGCGGGCGGGTTTGCGGCGGACGATGCCGAGTTTCGAGAAGTGGCCGCGGCCGTCGAGGAGGGTTGTTGGGGGTTTGCTCGGTGCTGGTGAGGAGGGATCTGTTGGTGGTGGCGGTGCTGTACTTGTAGCAGTTGTGTGAGGTGGAGGGTCGGGTGTCGAAGATAGGGCAGCGGCTGGTGCCCTTGCTGTTGTGTGTGTAGGGTTGGGTTCTTCGGGAGCTGACAGTGGTCCTGATAATGATACTGGTTCGGAAGGAGAGGGATCCTCCACCCATGGCGTGGGATCCTCCTGCGCCGCCATGGTGAGCTCCATGCTTGCGTCGCCGCAAGGCGCGCAGGTGCAGCACATGTAGACTTTGAGGTCCGGGTGGAGTTCGAATGGGGGTTGGTCGGGTTGCTGTTGCTGTTGCTGCTGGAGGTGTCGACGACGGATGAACCGCGATGGCGATGGCGATGGCGATGAGCTTTCGGTGACTGCAGCAGCACCAGCAGCAGCAGCGCGTTCCTCACCCAACAAAAACCCCCTCACCTCCGACAAAACCCAGTAATTAAAAGCCCGGAGAGCGAGCACCTCGGCGTGCCAGTCATGGAGAACGAGACCCTTGCAATTTGGAAGCTGGGAGGCCGCGAGACATTTGGCGCCTGATCTGCTGTCATCAGTATGGATGTTTCTGCAAATGTAGTAGTAGATCAGAGAGAAGGGGAAACACACGTAACCGCCACACAAGTCAATTGTTCCTCCGTCGTATTTTCGCCTAATATTGCTGTTAACCTTATTGAATGTCCAAGTCGATATGCTAAGGAAACAATCATCAGAAGCAACTGGAAACATACCCCTGACAACCACCATCCCCGCCATCGGAATCCACTCTCTGGTGCCATCATCGCGGACAATCGGTTTACTGCGCGCGGGCAGCGCATCGAAATGCGTATGGACAAGGCGGGCGATTCGCGATGAGAGTCCATCTTGCGGATTCTCTTCTCCCATAGCATATACGTATATATAAATTATCAAGCCGTAATCTCCAAAAAAAAAAATAAAACCCCAAAAGCCCAAATACCCGACTGGACTATATGCCCAGTAGTGAGGAGAAGTAAAATCTAGGAGGACGTATCAAATTCCCGATAAAGTCATTCCCGCTAAACTTATCGATAAATCCCGTCCCCATCCCCACATCACGTGGCATCCTGCCGCATTTTCCAACCCAACTGCCAAAAGCTCCGCGGCGACAACATCAATCCTTCCAAGTTGTCAACCTTCAATTCAGAAACCAAGCACAAACCAAACGCACCACCTACCTCCCCCATCAATAAACCAATACCCCTTCAAATCACCCCGAACCAAATCATCCAGAAACCGAAGCCAAAATGGCCGACAAACTCCGCACTCTCCAGAACCTCGAGGCGATGCAGGCCCGCTACATCGGCACGGGCCACGCCGACACGACCAAGTACGAGTGGCTCTCCAACATCGTGCGCGACAGCTACGCCTCGTACATCGGCCACCCGCCGATGCTGTCGTACATGGCCGTGGGGATGGGCGAGTCCAAGGAGAAGGTGCGGGCGACGATGATCGAGAAGATGGTGCGCGGGGCGGGGAATCCGCCGGAGGTGAGTTTAGTTCCACACTCTTTTTTGCTTGGGAGTTGAAATGGATGTGGTGTGCTGATTTACTGGGTCTAGACACAGGAATGATGAGGATGGGTTTGGATTGAGTGTTCCGGTTTGGATCTTGGAAGGGGGTGCTGATCGGGGGTTGGTTGACTGGTTCAAACTGGTTCAATGTCTGGGAGAGGATTCAGGAGGGACGATACTGGATGACGTGCCCTAGAATCTGTGGTCTGGTTATCCAGAGATATCTGGCTCTATGTCTTGGGGGCAAGACAGGACAAGACAAGAAAGGACATCCAGTCATCGATGAGAGGCAAGGAGTTTATGGATACGGCGTTTTAGGGGGTTTATGCCTTTTCTGCTCGTGTTGAGTTTCAGTGCAGCGCGATTTTCTCATTACTCAATAAAGCTTATAATAGTTATCATCACACTCAAATCAGATCCCACTGCATGTGCTTGCGCTGTACTCCGGAATGTATCTCACCAATCAAAACTCAACATAATGTACTGTACAAGACCTACTCAACCCATCTAAACTACCTAGTAGCCACTCGATCTTCTTCACCTCTCTACGAATCATCTACCACGGCAACTACTTCTTCTCCTCGTTCAACTTGGTCGTCGAAGCACCACCAGCAGCAGCGGCATTGGCAGCCCCTGGATCCTGCTGCGCCGCCAACCTCGTATTCTCCGCCTGCAGCGACCCGATCAGATCCAACCACTGCTTGCGCTCCGACCGCAGCCGATCGACCTCCTTCTTCAGCAGCTCGACCTCTCGCCGGAGCGCATCCGCCTCGCCCCGGGCCCGCGACTTCTCCTGCTTCTCGGCGTGCTTTTGTTGCCGCGCCTCGATCTTCGACGCCTCCTTCACCTGGTCCTTTTCGATCTTGCCCAGCTGCTTCAGCAGCTTCGACTCCTCATTGAACAAGCCGGACGCCACCTTGTGCGCACGCGCGGCCTCATGACGGTTGTGGTGGTGATTGTTGCCACCGCTGGACGCCACCCCCCGGTGCACGCTGCTGCCCGGACTGCTGCTGAGTTGCTCGCTGCCTACGTCGCCAGCCGCGGCCAGCGCTGCTGCTGATGCCTTGTCTCGCTTGTTGCTGCTGCTGCTGCCGCCCCCGCCCTCAGCTGTGGCGGTTTGTGGGGGCGAAGCGGGTGTGGATTCGACATGCAGGGCCTGGATCTCCGAGCGAACGCGGTCCAGCTGCGCCTCGACGTTGCGTTTGCGCTCCGCCAGCTTGGCCAGTTGCTTCTCGTGGGATGAGAGTTTTCCCTTCTTGTTGAGCGTCATCTGTTCGATGGCGGAGACATTGGGAGGGGCTTCGACGGCGGAGTCGAAAGCCGAATTGGCGGAGAAGGCGACGGAGGCTTTCCCTTGCGAGGCTGCATCGTTGAACTCTGGCTCGGTGGGCTTGGCGGTAGTAGTGGTTGTTGTGGGGGGTGTTGGCTCGGTCTGCGGGTCTTCCTTGTCGTCTGTCGGATAGCCATTTTCCTGGGCAGTACTGACTGTCGACGACTGTCGCGAATGACCGTGGGGGAGATAGTCGAGAACGGCCTGCGGAGCATACCGCTCCAGACCTGCATTGACCAGGTATGCGAAACTGGCAATGAGGCCGTGGTGCTCAACTTCAGTGTCCGAATAGTAGTCCGACTCACTGGAATCCTCAGAGACACTACCCTCGTCGTCTTCCGCCGAAGCCTCAGCGCCAGGGTCATGTTGATGCTGATGCTGATGCTGATGACCTGCAGTCCCCGACTTGCGATGCGCACGCTTCTTATGGCCTTCATCCCGACATGCCCAGTTCAAGAACTTGATGGCATCCTGACAGATACTCTTGGGGGTGCCCTTTTCCACCATCCATCGAGGGATATTGCCTCCGGGATCACTTCTCGTGACCATCACCCATTCCACGGGATTCAGTTTTCTCTGCACTTCCTGCACCTCTTGCCCATCCACTTCCTTCCCAGCCTCACCACCGGCACCCTCTCCGTCCTCCTCATCATACACCGGAATCTCTCTAATAAACTCCACACTCTCATACTGCCCCCTGATATAATTCTGCGTCGGCGGCACATCAGGATGTTCGCACGGCCTTGAGACCATCATCCACCTCCTCGCCTCTTTTCCTTTCCCCTTGGTCCCTGCCCCCTCTCCCTCCATCGAACCCACCCCCTCAAACCCCTCCGTCACAACCTCCCAACTAACAATCAAACTCACAAAATCCCTGGCCGCCGTCGGCTTCGGAAACATAGCGGAGACATGATATACCTGGACCCGACCAATGACCCTTGCGCCATCCTCACTCTTCACCTCGATGTCCTCGACCAACCGCTCGGCCCCGATACCGCGCACCGCCTGGTCCGGCGGCCGCCCCTTCTGGATCTGCTGCTGGTTCATGCGGAGCGTATGGCCCATCTCCCCAGACAGTTTCGCGTGCCACTTCGTGAACGGCAGTCCAGCGAACACGCTGCGGCGGCCGAACCAGTGGCCCTTGCCGTCTGAGCCGGGGAGCTTGTAGATCGGGATGTGGAGGGGGTTCTCCTTGGCGGAGGAGATCTTGATGGGCTTGCTCCATTCCTTGTGGTGGGGGTTGTTCGGGATCGAGGGGGGCGGGGGTGGTAGTAGTGGTTGTTGTTGTTGTTGTTGGGGTTCTGCTGCTGCTGCTGATGATGATGTTGGGGAAGTTGTCGTGATAGTAGTAGTAGAGGTAGGGGAGGTAAGGAGTTGGGAGGCGCGGGCGTTGGAGGGGTGGAGGATGGCTGCGGCGGGGGGTAAGTGGGTGGTGTTGTTGTTCGTGTGGGATGCGGAAGATGGGCTTTCATCTTTATCGATCGGTGGCTCGGGCACGGATTCGATGATCAATCGCGCTTTCGTGGAGAGGTCGTGAAGGTAGGCGCGCAGAGCGTCCGGGTCGTTGCTGGGGATCGAGTCCCAGGTGGTCGGCGAGAGGCAGTTGAGGGCCTCTTGGAGGTCGGCCATTTTCTTTCTCTCTCGCTCCCTTTGTTCTGAACCTGCTTTATGAGTATGATAGTAACAGTGTATATGTCATCTATGAGTGAGAATGAAATCTCTTGGATGTAAGTCCTGCCACAGCGCGAACAACGATGATTGTTAAGCAAGTGGAGGTGGATGATAGTATAAATTGCAGTGAGGAGAGAAGAGTTCTAGCCAAGGGGGTGGAGGGAAGCACGAAGGGAGAATTGCGGGGAAATTACTTCATGCGCGAACTGCCGTTCCTATGAGACTGATTAGTTGATGATGATAATGATGATGACGATGAAATGTAAGCAAGCCAGCCAGCCCAGCCCAGCCAGCGATGATGAAGGTGGTTGACGGTAGTGGGTAAGTTAACTAGTGGTTGTCCGCCCTGCTGGGCTGGCCGTGACCCTGACGTCATCCCGAGGCCCGGACTCTTTCTTTAGTGCCCGCGGAGATCCCGCACGGCGAAAAGATTACGCACTGCATGTCTTTCGACGACTTCAATTTCCAGATTATATCAGACTTAAGTACATCTTGCCAATCACATACGGAACAGCAGAAAGAACAAGAATGAGAAGTAAGAAACAACGCAAGACGTGGGCGCAGCCCTGCCAGCATCCGATTCCCGCCCGCTCTTCCCACGCCTCCTCCAGGGAGGGTTGGTCAAGTGGACAGGCGCATCCAGGTAATCCCGAAAACAAACAAAAGAGATAAAACCCAGCCTGGATGATAGGAGATGAACCTACCAGAGCAACACGAGGGCCGGAGTAAGGGCAAAATCGCCTTCAAGGCCATTGCATCACTCGCAGATCAGGGGCAACGCAGAGAGGTCACAGACCCCCACTCAAAGTGTGTTGGCTCAACTGGTGTATGTGGCTGCCACAGGCAGACACCCAACCAAACCTAATCGAACGAGATCAACAACAGCCCTGACGCGATTCGGCACAAACTCAGAGCCTCGTCTTGGTCATAAAAGTCTGCCGTCATAGATGCATCACAGATGCCTTCTGCTGATCAGCAGTGCCACTGCGCGTCTCAGCTAGCTAGTCCCGTTGGATACCTGTATCCCCAGACTAACTGACCGCAGAGATGCTGCCTGGGCGCCTAGTACAGAGGCAATGCACAGCATTGTCTGTCTCAACCGCCCGGACCAACAGCGACAACGAAGCGAAAACGATGGTGAACATTTCCTCATCCAAATCATATCCCGTGCCGCGAGGCTAACCAGGTCTTCATGACGTATAGTGAAAAGCAATCACAATTGTAGCCGACCCGCCGCTTCTTGATGCTGTAGAACAAAAGTAATCACGCTAGCGCTGTTTGAATCAATAAAAAAAGAAAACACAAAACCGTTGAACGAAGAGAGCTGATCTCAGCAGTCATGCAAAATATAGACGATATGGAGTATCATGTATGTCGCGAATTCAATCAAGGAGAACGCCGTCATTGATGCCAATTAGTCGGATGTCTGTCGTGGGGAGGATTTGGCCCCGGTCGGTCAAGAGCGGGTGCAGGAGGGATCGGACCGGGCGGCATAGGCGAGCTGTAATATTCGTGATGTCGGTTCGAACCCTGGGATCTGTTTCCAAAAGACACGCCAAGTCAGGGAGACCGTTAACATCAAGTGTCTGGTTCCATGGACGCGTTTACATTATTGTCCCGTAGGGAAGCGAAAGCGATGAGAAATCCTGGTATCGATCCCCCCATCCAAACCCTGTCATGTTTGCTGCCGTGCTGCAGAGCATGCTCGGCAGTGGGAGAGCTGCAAGAGCCGCCGAGGTCGCCGCCACACCGTAGTACTGCGCCGCGCTGTACGGCGGCGCCGTCGTATACGGTGGACTGAAGGTCGACGCCGGTGGAGAGGTCAGCTGCGCATCCTCCATGCCGCTCATGTGAGCCCAAAGACCCGGATTCACATCCCCGGTCGTGGTCGTGGCTGGACTGGACGGCAGGATCTTCCAGGAGTCCATTGGAAGGGGCTGATGCATCGAATCCTGCCACCAGGGTCCGGGACCCGTTGAGCTGGGCAGGTAAGGCACCGAGCGGAGCACGTCGACAACCCGCGGCGGCGGTGGCTGCAGGGGGACGAACAAGTTGGAGATGGCCACTTTGGCTTCCTCACTGCGGCCGGCCAGAAGTTCACCCGCCCCATCCTCCTCGAGCCCTTCGAGGGCAAGGACGCTTGTGCGATAGACAAACTTGTTGGCGGCTTGGACAAAATCCTCCTGTAGCTTCTTCAGTTGAGTTTCCTTGTCGGACCAGTCCCAGGTTTTCGCCGCGGCATCGACGGAGTAGACATCCTTGTGATAATCAACGAGCGCCTCGATGGTTTCCGGGGTTAGCTTGAAGGCGACTTCGTTCTGCGACACCATATCCACATGGACGACGTAGGCATCGATGTGGACCATTTGATAGTTGAAGAGGCCCTCAACCAGAGGGTTGTCATCCTTGCGAAGTTCGGCCTCGGGAGCCTTGGGGAACATCATCGAACACAGCGTCCAGATAGCGTTGGGCGAGGACAGCGTCTCGGTTAGACATCTAGTATGCTGTGTGACATTGTTCAGCGGGCGTTTGACTCGGTTGACCCGTTTCAAAGTGGCCGTGAGCCACGGTTCGATGCGGGTGTTGAGCACCACATTTGGCGATGACCGCGGGGCAAATGCGGCTGCCGACGAGGGCAGTAAGACGGTGGGCATTTCTCAGACTGCGCGAGAGCGACGAAAGATGGTACTGTATTTGACAAAAAGCAAAGAACGAAGAAGAGAAGGGCGAATCAGTAAAGAGAGAGAGAAGATAGGATCGAAAAAGACCATAGAGGCGACATTCGCCCACACCGCGTGAGTTTTCCTGATAACAATCCAATCCGTCTGTTTGAGGGCAGACAGAAAAAAAAAAAAAGAGGCAGAGCTCGAAGTCACGAGGACTGACCCAGTCCCAATAATAGGCACGACGGAGGGGTATGTAAATAATGAAAGGGGAAAAAGTAAAATAATTCAAAGTAGGTGTGGCGGGGTAAAAACCGCTGCCTATCTGGTAGACGATGGAGACGGTGGGATCAGAAGGTGAGTTGAGCAGTTAGGGTATAGATTAAAAATCCCCACCATCAACCAAAGGCAAGTGGAGTGTAGCAGGGGGTATAGTAGTAGTAGTAGTAGTAGTAGTAGTAGTAGTAGTAGTAGTAGTAGGTAGTGGTGGTGGTAGCAGTGGTAGCGATGATAATAATAAGCAATCGTGGGAATGTATAAGGCAAAACTACTGACTGTGTGGGCGAACGCGCGAAAAGAAAACAAAGGAATGGCAAGGACTGAAAAAGGATTGCAGGCCTGTGAAAAGAGGGAGGAAGAGGAGAAGAGGAGGAGGAAGGAGGAAAAGAGGAGGAAAAGAGGGAATAATGCAAATGGAGGAGGAGAAAGAGGAGGAGGGGGGCAAAACAGACAGATGGAGGCTGCCTGCAGTTCAGTCAGTGTATGCAGCAATAGCAGCAGCAGCAGCAGCAGCAACAATGGAGAGAGAGAGAGAGTTGAGCTGACTTGACAGTACAGATACAGTAAGGTCCACCGGGAATGGGGCTTTAGTATGAGTATATGTATCAATGCACGGGATTCTATACAGCCGTCCAACAAGCCACCCACAAGAAAAGAGTCCGCTCCGAAACAGCAATGTCCACAACCACCCAAATTTTAAAGAGTAGCGTCTGGATTCGTAGAGAAAAAAAAAGGCTCTTTGACTTGGGAACGTTAAACAAGCCAAACGAGACAAGTTCAAGCTGACTTTTGCATACGCATACTGTCTCGAATGCCTTCAGCTGTCGCCGACCAACCTTGATAGTAGTTAAGTTACCGGGTGATACGCACAAGCGATATCTAGTAGCCCGTACATAACTTTAGTTACTGTGGAGGAGGAGAGGAGAGGGGGGGGGGGCAACTCGCAGATTCGCTCTGTCTGCAATGGCGCAGTCCGGCCGGCGACTTTTCCCATGCAGTCGACGCGAAATCCCGATCGTATGGTACGAGTGATTTTTCTTTTGCGAATTTCACACCTGCTTTTTTTTCTTTGACCTGGACAAAAATTAATTATTTTTTAAAGGATTATTTCTATCATTTTTGATGGTTGGAGCCATCGCCCGCTTTTCCCGGTGCGCTCTCGATCACTTTTTCTTGCTCTTGCTCCTCCGTGGCCTCCAGCAACAAATCTAAGCCAGATATGCAAGTGTCCAGAATCGTCATCGGCAGTGGAGCATCGGCCAGGAAAAGACAGGAAAACAGAAGGGGACGAAAAGCCAGAAAAGGCAGAGTCAGTCAAGTAGGTTAGTAGTTGGTCAATCCACGACCCTGGAAGGCAAAGTCAAGAAAGAGCAAGAAGAGCACGGGGCTAGTTTAGACCAGGTGATCCCCCATGATTACTGAATTATTACTATTTCGGCTCGCTGAGTGATTTCTCCATCCGTACATCCACCACTAAGTTGCTACATTACTACAGAGTGCAGGGCACATAGTGCTCCATATTCAAGTAAAGATCATTGCTAGTTAGTAAGTACACTACTACGGCAGATGTGAGTTCACTTTTACTTTGAACTAACCGGTGAAATACTGACTCAAGATCCAATTTCCACCTACTCATACCGACCCATAATACCTTTTACCTTTTAAGGGTCGCGGATGTCCGCGAACAAAGAAAGTTTGGACCAAAAGGCGCCCCTGTAGTGTATCTAAGCTGTTTCTTGCCTACCGGACATCGCTGGGGAGCGATGCCTGCTGATATGGAAGTGCTCTCCGGTCGGGATGCGACAGAAGATGATTTAACCTTTTCTATATCCTCTTTTCTGTCGCACTCCCTGAACTCCCTGAGAAGGTAGTTGGGGCCCTGTTGAGGTTTATTATGGTGAAAGGGGAATAAAGGTGATGTTTTCCTTGGAAAAAATCTTCAAAGTCTCCTTTCCAATGGATCAACATGCATCGACACAATGCCACAGTGGGATAAGAAGCCGGTCAACTGCCCTAGCTAGGCAGGTCACACAAAAGGGCAGACAGACAGACAAGACAGACAAGACAGACAAGACAGACACCCCCATTCCGAACTTGAGTTTCTGCCCAGGACGGCCGGACGGCCGGGCGGACGGACAAGAGACAGAAGCTGAACCATGGATCAACCCCAACAAGTGTTCCATTCATTCTCAATTCCTGTCTGACCCGGAAAGGGCCCATTTGCCAGGTGTGTGCGTGGGTGCGTGGGTGCGTGGGTGCGTGGGTGCGTGGGTGCGTGTGTGTGCATTGTCAGTGATGGTGACACCGGAATGGCAAGTAACCCAACAAGAGCTGTGCTCTGAAGTACTTTCCCTTCTTTCTTTTCTCACCCCCCAAATAAAGTGGCTGTTTGACTCTATATCTCAACGGGAGATTTCGTATACAATGTTGTAGACAGATAGAAAAAAAAAGGCGTGGTTGCAGGATGGGCTTGCAGGTTGGAATCAGGGCTGGCTGGGGCTAAGCTAAGCCCCTCTCCTCCGCCTCCTCCTCTCTCAGCTCGCTCGGCATCTTCCCTCTTCTTCCATCGCGATGAGCAAGCGCTCCACTTGCCATGCAAATTGTGATGGCTGAGAGTGGCAGTACATTTATCTTCTCCCACTACCAAGACACCTATGCATAATACTCCTTTTAGATATGTCGACATTTGAACAGTGGGAGCGAATACGATCCATATTCGACTGTTCAAGTTTCTAGTGTTTCAATAACCGAGTCAACAGTCACTGTAACTAAGTTACATCGATACATCTACCTACCAATTTACCCGCGCAGTCAAACCTCAGAAGTCTGATGATTGTACACAGAATATCCATCGCATCATTTAGTGCTACAATGACCAATCAACGCACGCGACAGTTAAAAGTACTCAACGTTATTCCGCCTTCCCCAAAATCACGAACCTACTAGGTAGTCTTCTCTATAGACTGAGTCAAGACAAGCCCACTTTCTCAATGGGAGAGTATCCAAGAATTGGTGAAAACCAAGATCTAACCAAGTACGTAGTCTAACTTACTCAGTATGGGTAACTAAGACATAGGATCAAAAAGCCCCTCGCTCTTTTAGACTTGACCTCTCCGGCACGCGATACCGCCACCCACTTCGCGTCCTTTGACCGGTGGGACCTTTTCGAAGCACCTCACATGTGGCAAGTCAGCCCTGACTCCTGAGATCCAGCTTCCCGGTGAGTGGACTTCTTCACGTCTACAATGCCGTAGTCCCAGATGCCGTGTGGACTAGAATTAATGATTCGAAGTCTGCATCGATGTAAGCTATATACCCACGGCCGAGAGAACAGTTTTTCATCCATACTACCCACAGTCCACACACAGGACAAGTATAACGCATGCATACCAGACCTGTCGTCGCATGTACAGTACATCACCGCGCATATATGCGAGTAGGGAAACATCTACTCATACCACGCGGGTACGTAGAAAGAAGAAGAAATGGCGATGTTGGAAATCCACGCTCCCGTATGACTCACCAATTCCGATCGTCCGTGTACCCTTATCATTTCCAAACGCATATAGAACTAGATCTATACTGCCTGCTCTGTATACCTACCTATGATGACGGCAAACCGACGCCCTTGCACAAAAACCACCGTCTCATGTCGTTAAAATTCGAATTCACCCGGGCACAAAATCTTAAGCAAGTGTCTTTGACTGACCAATAGTAGAAGGGCGATTTTTTTTATACCTGCTCTTCAAAGGCGCACAGAGAAACATCTGCAAAGGAAAAAGAAAGAAGGCTGGGAAACATCTCCATCCGATAGAGGGTCCCGGTCCACAAAACGCACGGTCCAGTGGTACCCGACTCGGGTTCCGATGCAAATAGGTACGTACTCCGTACCTTTACTGGAAATTATACTCCTATCGTAGTACTACCTACACGCAGAATGGGAAAGCTGATACAAGAGGCCGAGGTGGCTCATTCATGTTCCTGGGGAGTCGTCGGTGTATCGCAACTCGGGGCATGGTTCACGATGGGGCGGGTTCCTTTTCTGCAAGATGAACAGGGGTGGACGAATAAATTCCTGACATGCAGGAAACTCGGTGTGGGAAGTTATACAAATGTTTGGCGTGGAAAGGGGAAATGAGCATATTTGCTGTTCAACACCTGCACACCCCTGCTGGTTTGCTCATTATGCTGTACATCATGGACCTGCGTGATTAGTGCTGGATCCTGGAGTTTCGAGTATTGATGTTTCTGGGCTGGTTTCTAGAAAGAGTATAGTGTCTGTAGTTGTGCTGAACCGCACAGAATATGAGCATAAAACATCAGGAGTACTTCGGAGTAACGTTGTTGCAAGGCAGCGAAAACAAGAATACAGCAACCTGTATTCGACTCGTGGACGGTACACTTTTCAGTGCACTTCTACTCATAGCCGCCGATACCCGCATTATTGCGCGTTTGCATTCAGCATCTGTCTGTGGCTTTATTGACTTGAGATATACAATCTACGAAGACGGACTTTCCACCAGAATATGGGAATAGCCTCAAGGTCGTTCCTGTCCAAGCGATATTACTCAAACCCTCGTTGTTGAACCTACCCCTAGATTTTACTCTCACACCGTATCGCCGGAGTGAGTATCAAGAAGAGCCCATGCGCTCAGCTGAGGGAATACTGAAGGCCAGGAAATTTATCTGTAGAGGCGTCGTGGGGCGAGCTAAAAAGCCCTGGGCAGTTAGGTGAGAAATGCCTCTTCTGGCCGCGGATTCGTTGACGAGCTACAGCGGCCGGCTCGCTCGCCGCAGCTGAGAACCCCGCTACGGACTCTCATTGGACTGGCCTCGACGACCGGTCATCTCCAGACTTTCTGGAATAGGAAGGGCAGACGGACTGGGAATGCACTTGTAACGAGACTCGTTACTCGACCATTACCGGTCTTGTAATGAAGAGAGGGGGGTGGGCAATAGAGGGAGGATGGAACGGAAGGGCAAGTCCTCTATCCCGATCTGCATGCATGCACTCGCATGCCTTGGATGACCGTATCGTTCAGAACCTGGACTGCTTGGTGTGCACGCCTGCATGCGCATACACGCGGCTGCGACAGGCTGACTGATACTCCTGTGCCTCGTATGGTTTCCCGAGGCGGCACCCACAGGGTCTGCTGGAGATATTGCCCTTCCCAGGCAATAGGCTCCGATGTTGTGACAGGGTGGCGAACTCCGGTGCACATAAGGGAAATAGCAGACGGAGTGCAAATGCTAGGTGTCCGGCGATACCGAGACTGACTGAGAGGACGGGCAATCTTGTGATGGGCTCCTCGTTTGTTTGTCTGTCCCGCGCGACATCAATCCGGATTGGACTGCCTGTCAAGCATTGCGGCAGTGACCGAGTTCGGTAATGATTGCGCCTGGAAATCTCAGTACGCGCTCGAGAGTGGGTTTAACGACAGACGCAAATGGAGATGCGAGGATTGGACGAACAGGATGGATGATACCGTATAACGTGACCGGCGGTTCATGGTCTGGTGCCAGAGCGCATCGCTTGATCGGCTGGGGTCGGCTCCCGACGACAGACGAGCAAGAACCGCATATCAGAAGCAGTCAGCGCGTCGTCAGCTTCGCGCTAGAGGCCCAAAGACCCATCAGACTGGATGTCGAGCGCCCGAATGACCGTTTACAGCGCTGCACAATGACATATCGTGGACCCTGCTGTCTTATACAGAGTCGAGCTGAAGAATCGAGAGACAAGCTGGCAAGACATGGGACGCTCCACTGGGGCAAGATTGTGGATTGGTACCTTCGAGATAAAAAAAGAAAAGCAAAGCGTAACGCATGTACTGTGTCCCGAGGTGAGAGGGAGAGGAGGACAGCGGAGAATAAAGCTACCTATGGGAAGGGAGGAGGTTGTCCTTCCCTCCATCGGCGTCGGCGATGGCCGAGTGCTGCGCCTCACTAAGCCACCATTGTGTGGCGAGGTTTCTGCAGGCGCCGGTGACATCATCCTTGGCCGGAGAATTTGAGCTGACAGCAAACAGCAAGCAGCAAGCAGCAAGCAAAGGATCACGAATGACTGGCGTGGATGCCCAGAACGAACTCGGTCGGACTGCAGGCAGCTAGTTATTGCTGTCACAATGAGCGGGTAAAAAAATACCTTCCATTCACCAGAACCACAGGCAACCTTGGAAACTCTCAACCCTAAACCCGTATGTAGAAAGCAAAAGAGAGAGAAAATAAGTAGATGCGGGCAACTGCAAAAATCTTGACTTCCAGGTGACTACAATCTAGCGCTTAAAGAGATCCCTTCCAATACCAGCTTAGGTGCAGCAACCGGCGCTGATCAGCCAAAATCTTCCCTGCGAGTGCTCCGGCGTTGCGCATGAGCTCTTGAAACACAACATGCGGAGCCCGAGCAACGAAGAACTAACCAAAGCAGACCAGAGGTCATTGCGGTCATCCTGTCCTAGCGCATCCTGAGTAGTATGAGTATGTAAAGTCGACTCTCTGTAACAGACAGACAAGCAGACCGGGAAGAGTCTGGGATAGCCCAATAGCATGGCACTTGAGATGCAACCCCGTACATAAGCGCCGACGCCTCGCCTTGCCTAAACCCAGTCAGACTTTAGTCCCTGACCAGCCCTGCAAGCGTCCAATACAGGCTGCCTCACCGAGGCTCATCCCTGTTCCGTCTTTCAACCGATAACCATGAGGGGGAGACGGAACTAGTACTCCGTACTCCGTAGGCCGCACGGGAGGTGAGTATGCAGGTTGCCGGGAGCCTGAGGTCTTTTCCCTCCCTCATCTGAACAAGAGGGTGTGCGAGACCCACTGGGCGCTGCTGACAATGCATATGATTTTGGTCATGTGTTCGGCTAGCCCTTTTGAGAGCGTAGATCGACTGGCCTGGATTCAGTCCTGTTGGGATGAGATCAGTGGGATTCCAGTCTGGGGTTGGATACGACATCAAAAGCTGGTGACACTTTCAGACCTCGATGCTGGCCAGAACCCGTCCTCGTACTCTCGGATCTCTGGCACCACTACCTAACATGGTTCGCTGCATATTCTTCACTGAGACAGGATCTGCTCAGACTTCGAGCCGAGACAAATAGGATCGGGGGTCGTGCTCAAAGTGAGCAAATGGTATTTTTCCCATTCATGATGACTAGTTCGAATTCGACAAACAACAACCACGGTGGCCAACCTCCCTTCATCTAATTTGAAAGGTGCGACACAGAAGGACTGGTATTGCCTGTGATCGAACCGTTTCTTCGGCGAATAAACCCGACGTCAGCACCTAATTGTTGCAACGACGAGCCGTGAAAACTGAAAGTTTAGAAAGAGTATGGCATGTGCGAGTAGTCTCCTCATAGAGCAGAGTCAAAGATGATACTTTGGCTTTGGCACACTTCGCTTGAGCTCATTGGGATGTTGTACATCAAGAGCCCGTAGTTGTCTTGAATCACACTTAGAATTATTCGTGTCTTTGCTTCCGCAAGGTGACTCTGGGGAATAGGTCTCGACTGATCTGCGACGATGAGTCGCATGATTCCTGATTGGGTCTTG